AGTGGGGGGGTCACTCACGAAGGCGCTGACGGCGGCGATGGGGGGTTGTGGGGGGACGGGCTGTCGGGGGGGAGCAGTGGGGGGGTCACTCACGAAGGCGCTGACGGCGGCGAGGGGGGGTTGTGGGGGGGCGGGCTGTCGGGGGGAGGGGCGGGGGGCTGTCGGGGGGGAGCAGTGGGGGGTCACTCACGAAGGTGCTGACGGCGGCGATGGGGGGTTGTGGGGGGGCGGGCTGTCGGGGGGGAGGGGCGGGGGGCTGTCGGGGGGGAGCAGTGGGGGGGTCACTCACGAAGGCGCTGACGGCGGCGATGGGGGGTTGTGGGGGGACGGGCTGTCGAGGGGGGAGGGGCGGGGGGCTGTTGGGGGGAGCAGTGGGGGGGTCACTCACGAAGGTGCTGACGGCGGAGATGAGGGGTTGTGGGGGGACGGGCTGTCGGGGGGGAGGGGCGGGGGGGGCTGTCGGGGGGCGAGGGGGGGGGGGTCACTCACGAAGGCGCTGACGGCGGCGATGGGGGGTTGTGGGGGGACGGGCTGTCGGGGGGGACGGGCGGGGGGCTGTCGGGGGGGAGCAGTGGGGGGGTCACTCACGAAGGCGCTGACGGCCGGCCCCTCCTGGCTGGCGGCGATGGCAGCCGGCGACACCACCAGGAAGACCAGGGTGGCGCTGGCGGAGCGCAGGAAATCCTGGGGGCGGTTGGGAGGGTCAGACTGGAGGGTCCCATCAGGGGAACCTGCCACCCACAGGGAGGGCGAGCGGAGATGGGGCAGCGCGTGGGGGGGCTGTGGGGGGGTCCCACGCGCCAGGCAGGGGCGGTGGATCAGGGGCCGGGGGGCTGTGGGGGGCTGTGGGGGGGTCCCACGCGCCAGGCAGGGCCGGTGGATCAGGGGAAGGGGCCGGGGGGCCTGTGGGGGGGTCCCACGCGCCAGGCAGGGGCGGTGGATCAGGGGAAGGGGCCGGGGGGCTGTGGGGGTCCCACGCGCCAGGCAGGGGCGGTGGATCAGGGGCCGGGGGGCTGTGGGGGGGCTGTGGGGGGGTCCCACGCGCCAGGCAGGGCCGGTGGATCAGGGGAAGGGGCCGGGGGGCCTGTGGGGGGGTCCCACGCGCCAGGCAGGGGCGGTGGATCAGGGGAAGGGGCCGGGGGCTGTGGGGGGTCCCACGCGCCAGGCAGGGCCGGTGGATCCGGGGAAGGGGCCGGGGGGGTTGTGGGGGGGCCCACGCAGCAGGCTGGGCCGGTGGATCCGGGGAAGGGGCCGGGGGGGGCTGTGGGGGGGCCCACGCAGCAGGCAGGGCCGGTGGATCCGGGGAAGGGGCCGGGGGGGCCTGTGGGGGGGGCCCAAGCACCAGGCAGGGGCGGTGGATCAGGGGCCGGGGGCCTGTGGGGGGTCCCACGCGCCAGGCAGGGCCGGTGGATCCGGGGAAGGGGCCGGGGGGGCTGTGGGGGGGCCCACGCACCAGGCAGGGGCGGTGGATCAGGGGCCGGGGGGGTTGTGGGGGGTCCCACGCGCCAGGCAGGGCCGGTGGATCCGGGGAAGGGGCCGGGGGGGCTGTGGGGGGGTCCCACGCACCAGGCAGGGGCGGTGGATCAGGGGCCGGGGGGCTGTGGGGGGCTGTGGGGGGGTCCCACGCGCCAGGCAGGGGCGGTGGATCCGGGGAAGGGGCCGGGGGGCCTGTGGGGGGGTCCCACGCGCCAGGCAGGGCCGGTGGATCCGGGGGAAGGGGCCGGGGGGGCTGTGGGGGGGTCCCACGCGCCAGGCAGGGGCGGTGGATCCAGGGGAAGGGGCCGGGGGGGCTGTGGGGGGGTCCCACTCGCCAGGCAGGGCCGGTGGATCCGGGGAAGGGGCCGGGGGGCCTGTGGGGGGGCCCACGCACCAGGCAGGGGCGGTGGATCAGGGGCCGGGGGGGCTGTGGGGGGTCCCACGCACCAGGCAGGGGCGGTGGATCAGGGGCCGGGGGCTGTGGGGGGCTGTGGGGGGGTCCCACGCGCCAGGCAGGGCCGGTGGATCCGGGGAAGGGGCCGGGGGGCCTGTGGGGGGTCCCACGCGCCAGGCAGGGGCGGTGGATCAGGGGCCGGGGGGCTGTGGGGGGCTGTGGGGGGGTCCCACGCACCAGGCAGGGGCGGTGGATCCGGGGAAGGGGCCGGGGGGGCTGTGGGGGGGTCCCACGCACCAGGCAGGGGCGGTGGATCCGGGGAAGGGGCCGGGGGGCTGTGGGGGGGCCCACGCGCCAGGCAGGGGCGGTGGATCAGGGGCCGGGGGGCTGTGGGGGGCTGTGGGGGGGCCCACGCACCAGGCAGGGCCAGTGGATCCGGGGAAGGGGCCGGGGGGGCTGTGGGGGGCCCACGCACCAGGCAGGGCCAGTGGATCCGGGGAAGGGGCCGGGGGGGCTGTGGGGGGGCCCACGCACCAGGCAGGGGCGGTGGATCCGGGGAAGGGGCCGGGGGGGCTGTGGGGGGGCCCACGCACCAGGCAGGGCCAGTGGATCCGGGGCGCCCTCTCCTGGCAGCGGGTGAGACGCAGGCCCAGGGCACCGGCCGTCAGCAGCGTCTCCAGCAGGGCGGGCGCCATGTAGGCCGAGGCCGAGGCTGTCAGCAGCAGGAAGATCAGAAAACACAGGGCCTGGGGGTGGATAGAGGGTGAGTGTGGGGCTCGGGGACCCCCCCCCGGTCTGACCCCCACCAACCCACAGCACAGGGCTTCCCCTCCCCCTGCCTCTCCAGGGTTCCCAGCCCAGATGTCCCCCCCACACACACACACACTCTCCCCTGGGGCTTCTAGCCGCGCCCCCCCCACTGGCACCCCCACTCCTCTCCCCCACCACGTCCACTGCTCCCCTGTTCCCACCCTCAGCATTCCCCCCAGCCCCCCTGAGTCTGGTTCCTGTTGAACCTCCCCCCGGGTGTCCGCCCATCTCCCATTAAATTCAGGGAGTCGAGGGGTTGGGGGTAAGGGGTTTTGGCAGGTTTGAGGGGGGCTGAAAGGTGGGGGAGTTCTCAGAGCTGGGAGGTGGGGGTATGGAAGTTGGGGGGCGAGGGGTCTCAGGGCTGGGGGCAATGGCAGGGTCAGGGGGGACCAGGGGGTGGGGGGTCTCAGAGCCAGGGGGTCTCAGAGGTGGGGGTATGGAAGTTGTGGGGCTGGGGGTCTCAGGGCTGGGGAGGATGGCAGGGTCGGGGGGACCAGGGGGTGGGGGGTCTCAGAGCCAGGGGGTCTCAGAGGTGGGGGGTATGGAAGTTGGGGGGCAGGGGGTCTCAGGGCTGGGGGGGATGGCAGGGTCGGGGGGGACCAGGGGGTGGGGGGTCTCAGAGCCAGGGGGTCTCAGAGGTGGGGGTATGGAAGTTGTGGGGCTGGGGGTCTCAGGGCTGGGGGGGATGGCAGGGTCGGGGGGGAGCAGGGGGTGGGGATCTCAGAGCCAGGGGGTGTCAGAGGTCAGGGTGGCAGGTTCTGGGGGTCTCAGGGCCAGGCGGTCTCAGGGCTGGGGGGTGGCAGCGTCTGTGGGGCAGGAGGTTGGGAGGGTCCGTCCCGGGGGTCCATTTACCAGCTCGGTGCCCAGCAGCACCCCCTTGGTGGAGCGCAGGAACTGCCAGTCCAGTGCCAGGTCCCGCAGCCCCCTGGGCTCCCCCGGCTCCCCCATCCCGGAGCCCGCGCTGCCTCTCACTGGGGCTGGGAAGGAGGGAACGGGGTGGGATGAAGACAGGGTGTGTTCCCAGCCTGGCCTACCCCCACCTCCCCGGCCTCCACTGGTGGGGGGCCAGAAATCAGGGAGAGGAGAAGAAAGAAAGAAAGAAAGAAAGAAAGAAAGAAAGAAAGAAAGAAAGAAAGAAAGGGGCCAGCAGGTGTGGCAAGGGAAGGGAGGAGTGAAACACCAGGCGAATGAAAGGGGGAGTGTGGAAGGGTTGAAAAGGAGGGAGAAGCCCCAGAAAGTGAAGGCTGAGCCCCGGGGACCGTCTGTCCCCAGCCATCCTCCAGCTCCCCCCATATCCTCCCCCCGACTGCAGGACGGGTCTGCCCAGCTGCCCTTTGGCACTGGACAAAGGCGGCTTGTCCCATGGGGCTGGGAGCAGCTGGTACGTGGGGAACAAGGGGGCTGATTGTTGGGGGCTCTGAATTGGGTCCATTCTCCAGCTCCGGGATATGCCAGCCCCGGCCTTTGCCAGCAGGGGGCGCCGTGGGGAGCAGGGTGGGGACACTGGCTGGGGTGAGAGCTCCCGGCTACTCCAGCCTCTACCAGCGGGGGGGCGCTGTGTTTGGGGACCTCAATAATCATCCCCCCCTCCCCCCGCAATTTCACACCAATTATGATCATTGTAAAACTTTTATTGCCCGTAAAAACCAAGGTCTTTAGCTTCTCAACACCGTCAAGAGATTAAACGGGGACCAATGTAACAGCAGGTTTTTTGGGGGGGGAGCCGAGACGACCCCCCCAAAATGAAGGGGGGGCTGGCAGGAATTCTAGTTCCCTCCACACAAAATTCAGCCGGAGGTAAACCCTAAATTACAGCCAGATTCACCCCCACCTCCGCTCACATTCACCCCAAACCAGCCCCCCAGTTCAGCTCTAAAACGCAGGCTGCCCAGCCTCCCGACTGAGCTCTGGGGTCACCCCATACACACCCCAAACATGGGCATTAGATTTGCCCCCCAACTGCCCCATGGGTGCCCCCAAACTAGACCCAGACAGCCTCCAAAATCAGACTGAAATTCATCCCCAAACACCGCTCTCTTCTGAGCCCCCTAAAATGAGAGCCAGGGACCTTCCGACACTGTACCCAGGCGCACCCCAAAACTCAGCCCTGAGGGTGCCTCTTCCCCATGGCTGCTGGGTCCATTCCCAGGGTCGCCCCCTCCTCCACTGGCCCCCCGGGCCTTCTCTGCCACCTGCCCCAGGCCCCCTGGGGTTCCCCCACCTCAGTAGGGTCCTCTGTGCCCCCAAGCCCCCTGGATTTTCCCAATGGGTTTCTCCCTTTTCCCCTGGGTCCCTCAGCCCCCTGAGTGACCCCCACCCCATTACGGCCCCATGGGTCTCCGCATCCCTCTGCCCCCCGGGTCCCGCAGCGAGCCCCACACCCCACCGGGGTCCCGCTGTGGCTCAGAACTGCGGCACGACACAGACGCAGGCCACGGCCACGGGGTACAGCCGGGGCTCCAGGAAGTAGGCGCCGGGCCGGCCAGGGCAGGGGCGCCGGTAATAGACCGCGGTGCTGGCGTTGACCCGCACCGAGTTCCCCCGCCGGTCCCGGTGGTGCGGGGGGGCCAGCGACACGCAGTGCGGGCAGAGGCACTCGGCCTGGACCAGGCGCCGCGGGAAGCGGGTGCTGTCACAGTCCTCCCTGCGGAGAGAGAGAGAGAGACTGGGACCGAGGGGGGAGACTGGACCGAGGGGGGAGACTGGGACCGAGGGGGGAGACTGGACCGAGGGGGGAGACTGGACCGAGGGGGGAGACTGGGACCGAGGGGGGGAGACTGGGACTGAGGGGGGAGAGACTGGGACCGAGGGGGGAGACTGGGACCGAGGGGGGGAGACTGGGACTGAGGGGGGAGAGACTGGGACCGAGGGGGGAGACTGGGACCGAGGGGGGGAGACTGGGACCGAGGTTGGGGGAGACTGGGACCGAGGGGGGAGACTGGGACCGAGGGGGGGGGAGACTGGGACCGAGGTTGGGGGAGACTGGGACCGAGGGGGGGAGACTGGGACCGAGGGGGGGAGACTGGGACTGAGGGGGGAGAGACTGGGACCGAGGGGGGAGACTGGGACCGAGGTTGGGGGAGACTGGGACCGAGGGGGGGGAGACTGGGACTGACAGGGGGGAGAGACTGGGACCGAGGGGGGAGACTGGGACCGAGGGGGGAGACTGGGACTGAAGGGGGGAGACTGGGACCGAGGGGGGAGACTGGGACCGAGGGGGGAGACTGGGACTCGGTCCGGGACCGAGCGAGATGGGGATGCAGAGAGATCCTAGGCCCAAGACTGGAAGCACAGGGGGTGGGGGTCAGAAGCAGGGTCAGTTGGTTCATGTCAGGGTGGGGGGCCAGGGTCAGGGCTGTGTATTGGGGTACAGAGCAGCAGGGGGCTGTGTATCGGGATGAGGGTTGAGGGTCAGGGCCGTATATCGGGGTTCAGAGGGTGGGGGCTGGGTAACAGGTGAGGGGTGGGGCAGGGCCGGATATTGGGGTACAGAAGGGTGGGGGTTGGATATTGGGGTCACTCTTACCGGTATCTCCAGGGTGCGATGGAGCGGGTGTTGGGGGGCCCATGGGACCGCCCCTGGCACTGGGGCTCCTCCCCCTGGAGGGTGGACTGGGAGATGAGGTGACAGCTCTGGGGCTCCTGGGAGCGCCCCTCGCTCAGCCACACCCCGGCCTTCTCCAGCTCCCCCAGCTCACAGCACTCGGTGTCGCCCAGACATCGCTGGGCCCCGCCCAGGGACGCCACCCGGAGCACCGCCAACAGCACGGCCTGCAGGGGGCGAGAGAGAGCGTCGGACAGACGGAGGGATGGAGGGATGGCAGGGGTACATGGGGACGGAGGGATGGGGGGACGGAGGGATGGAGGGACGGATGGAGGGATGGCAGGGGTACATGGGGACGGAGGGATGGGGGGACGGAGGGATGGAGGGACAGAGGGAGGGATGGAGGGATGGCAGGGGTACATGGGGACGGAGGGATGGGGGGCCGGAGGGATGGGGGGACGGAGGAATGGAGGGACAGAGGGAGGGATGGAGGGATGGCAGGGGTACATGGGGACGGAGGGATGGGGGGACGGAGGGATGGAGGGACAGAGGGAGGGATGGAGGGATGGCAGGGGTACATGGGGACGGAGGGATGGGGGGACGGAGGGATGGAGGGACAGAGGGAGGGATGGAGGGATGGCAGGGGTACATGGGGACGGAGGGATGGGGGGCCGGAGGGATGGGGGGACGGAGGAATGGAGGGACAGAGGGAGGGATGGAGGGATGGCAGGGGTACATGGGGACGGAGGGATGGAGGGTCAGAGGGAGGGACGGAGGGACAGAGGGAGGGATGGAGGGATGGCAGGGGTACATGGGGACGGAGGGATGGGGGGACGGAGGGACAGAGGGAGGGATGGAGGGATGGCAGGGGTACATGGGGCCGGAGGGATGGGGGGCCGGAGGGATGGGGGGACGGAGGAATGGAGGGACAGAGGGAGGGATGGAGGGATGGCAGGGGTACATGGGGACGGAGGGATGGGGGGACGGAGGGATGGAGGGACAGAGGGAGGGATGGAGGGATGGCAGGGGTACATGGGGACGGAGGGATGGAGGGACAGAGGGAGGGATGGAGGGATGGCAGGGGTACATGGGGACGGAGGGATGGGGGGACGGAGGGATGGAGGGACAGAGGGAGGGATGGAGGGATGGCAGGGGTACATGGGGACGGAGGGATGGGGGGACGGAGGGATGGGGGGACGGAGGGATGGCAGGGGTACATGGGGACGGAGGGATGGGGGGCCGGAGGGATGGGGGGACGGAGGGATGGAGGGACAGAGGGAGGGATGGAGGGATGGCAGGGGTACATGGGGACGGAGGGATGGGGGGACGGAGGGACAGAGGGAGGGATGGAGGGATGGCAGGGGTACATGGGGACGGAGGGATGGGGGGACGGAGGGATGGAGGGACAGAGGGAGGGATGGAGGGATGGCAGGGGTACATGGGGATGGACGGGGGGAGCACAGAGGAATGGAGGGAAGGGGTAAGTGGGGACGGGTGGCTGGCCCCTCCTAATGGGTACCCCCGGGAGCCAGCAAGCGAAGGTAACAGACCCAAGTCCGTGCGTGGCATTAGCCAGCGGAAGTCCCTGCTATTTGTCGAGCCGTTGTCACCCAAGCCGGGCTTGTCCCTTCCATGGGCCGCAGAGCGTGAGGGTCTCCTGGGCGGGGCCCAGCCCCCCAGCCCCCCAGCCCAGGAAGGGCCCTTGGGGGCCATGCTCTGTCCTGGGCCACAGTGCCAGAGGGCCTGGCTGGAGGACAAGGCCTAGGTAGAAACCCAGCGTCCTGGCCCAGAACCACTCCCCGCTCGGACCCCTCAACCCCACTCCCCTGCCAGAGCTGGGGACGGAACCCAGGTGTCCGGGCTCTTACCAGCAGCGTCTCAGCCATGCCCGCTCTCCTCCGCCGCCTGCCACCTGCCACCTGCCCGTGCTGGGAGCCCCTCTTTTATAGCGGGCAAATTTCCATCATATCAGCAATGCAAATGTTTTTTCCTGGATGTTCACTTCGGATCAGGGTAATTTCCAGCCCTCACAATCCCATGGCACCCCATGCAGGGCTTGGGAATGGGAAGCACAGGTGGGGCGGGGGGGCTGGGCTGGGCTGGCAGGGGGCTGCGGGTCGGGAGTGAGGGGCACCAGCAGAGCTGGGCGGGGACAGGGCAGGGCTGGCAGGGGGCTGCAGGTCGGGAGTGAGGGGCACCAGCAGGGCTGGGCAGGGGGCAGGGCTGGGCTGGCAGGGGGCTGCGGGTCGGGAGTGAGGGGCACCGGCAGAGCTGGGCAGGGGGCAGGGCTGGGCTGGCAGGGGGCTGCGGATCAGGAGTGAGGGGCACCGGCAGAGCTGGGCAGGGGGCAGGGCTGGGCTGGCAGGGGGCTGCAGGTCGGGAGTGAGGGGGCACCCAGCAGAGCTGGGCAGGGGGCAGGGCTGGGCTGCCAGGGGGCTGCGGGTCGGGAGTGAGGGGCACCAGCAGAGCTGGGCAGGGGGCAGGGCTGGGCTGGCAGGGGGCTGCAGGTCGGGAGTGAGGGGCACCCAGCAGAGCTGGGCAGGGGGCAGGGCTGGGCTGGCAGGGGGCTGCAGGTCAGGAGTGAGGGGCATCAGCAGGGCTGGGCAGGGGGCAGGGCTGGGCTGGCAGGGGGCTGCAGGTCGGGAGTGAGGGGCACCGGCAGAGCTGGGCGGAGGCAGGGCTGGGCTGGCAGGGGGCTGCAGGTCGGGAGTGAGGGGCACCGGCAGAGCTGGGCGGGGGCAGGGCTGGGCTGGCAGGGGGCTGCGGGTCGGTAGTGAGGGGCACTGACAGCGCCGTCACTAGGGGTTGCCCAGCCCAGAAAGCCTGGAATGAGCTGCCCTGTCTTCAATCACCAGCTGCTGGAGTCCTGGGCTGGCGTCAGCGTAGTTTGGCCAAGGGACTCAGGGCCCAGCTCTGCGGGGGAGGGGGAAGAGCCCGGCCCCGATTCTCTCTGACTGGATTGCAGCAGAAATCAGTCAGGATGTTTAATGCTCGGTGGGGTCACAATAGTGAGACTCAGATGAAGAAACCTCAGCCACAGCTGGGAGAGAACCCAGGAGTCCTGGCAACCAGCCTGCCCATACAGTGACATACCATATTAAGGGCATTAATTCAGGTCTTTCCCTGATATATTCCACCCCCAGAGACCCCCAGCCCCCTCCCCAAGTCTCCCAGGCCCCCCCGGGACCTCTAGACCCCCCCAGCCCCCTCCCTGGGACCCCAGGCCACCCCTGGGACTGCTAGCCCCTCCTAAGGGCAGCCCACAGCTGGGGGGGGTGCTAGCCCCACGGGGGAGGGGGCGGGGTCCGGTCTCTGGGGAACACAGGGATTGTTTGGGAGCAGGTTTCTGTGGGCAGGCGGATTTGCATAGGATTCTGGGGAGTCACCCCGCGCGGGCGGCTCTGATCCCAAGCCACAACAAAGCAGTGCCCATAGCAACACAAACAGCCCAGCGCCCAGGGCGGGCTGGCAGGGCCTGCGGGTCGGGAGTGAGGGGCACCAGCGGGGCGGGGGGGCAGGGCTGGGCTACCAGGGGCTGCAGACAGGAGTGAGGGGCACCAGCAGAGCTGGGGGGGGGGGGCAGAGCTGGGCTAGCAGGGGCTGCGGGTCAGGAGTGAGGGGCTCCGGCAGGGCGGTGGGGTGGGCAGAGCTGGGCTAGCAGGGGCTGCGAGTCGGGGAGAGTGAGGGGCACCAGCAGGGCTATGGGCAGGGGGGCCAGGGCTCCAAGAAGTGGCTGGGAGTGAGGCAGTGTGATGAAGTGGGAATGTTCTTAATGTTTTCTCTGAATACGGTGTGTGTGCCTCAGTTTCCCCTATGCAGTTCTGAAGTATCTCGGGGGTGGGATAAGGGGGTGTGATTGTTGCAGAGCCCTAGAGGGCCAGTGTGACGCTGTCTGCACAGAGAATGGCCAACACCCCGTCTCCTGGCCACTGATGGCCTGGGGCCCCCCCCTGCAAGGTGCCGCTGAAGGGGTTGGAGAACACAGAGATCAGGTGGCCCAGACTAAAGGCCAGAGGAGGGGCTGGAGGGGGGTTCAGTTTGGAGCTGGCTGGGGAGACAGAGGGAGGCCCAGAACTGGGGTCTGGGATCCCTACCCCCCAAGGTGGACCTGACTGAGGGGTCCTGTTGTCTGTACCGACAAGCTCGCTTTGGGTCTGTGTTCCTGTCGGCTAATAAACCCTCTGTGTTACTGGCTGGCTGAGAGTCACGGGGAATCACAGGAAGTGGGGGTGCAGGGCCCTGACTCCCCCATACTCCATGACAGGCAGTAAGGTGGCCTCCAGCTGTGAATCCCGCCCCACTCAGGCCCAGAGATAAAGGAATGGTTAATGTCCAAACCTGGGTGGGGAGCAGGGTCTAGTGGCTAGAGCAAGGTGGGGAGGGGGCTGGGAACCAGGACTGCTGGGTTTCATTCACATGCCCCTGTGTGCCTCAGTTTCCATGGGGCAGGCTGTGGGGGCTCCCTGTATAGGGGTTGCTAATCATGAGGCCTGCCCCCCCCAGCATAGTTAATAGCCCTGGGCTGGGTTCACCCCCCTCCCCTCGGGTGTGGGGCTGAAGCCCCTCGCCCAACCCCTGGGGCTAACTCAGCTGCACTCCCCACAGGTTGCTTTGTGGCTTGGAGGGGAGACACCAGGGTGAATGAGGAGTAAAGATGAGGAGCCAGGACTCCTGGGTTCTCTCCCTGGCTCTGGGAAGGGAGTGGGGGCTAGTGGTTAGAGCAGGGGGACTGGGAGCCAGGACTCCTGGGTTCTCTCCCTGGCTCTGGGAAGGGAGTGGGGGCTAGTGGTTAGAGCAGGGGGGACTGGGAGCCAGGACTCCTGGGTTCTCTCCCCAGCTCTGGGAAGGGAGTGGGGGCTGCTGTTGGGTGACCAGACAGCAAGTGTGAAAAATCGGGATGGCGGTGGGGGGTAATAGGAGCCTGTATAAGAAAAAGCCGCAAATATCGGGACTGTCCCTATAAAATCGGGACATCTGGTCACCCTAGGCTGGTGGGTCAGAGCAGGCGGGGCTGGGAGCCAGGACGCCTGGGTTCTCTTTCCTGCCAGTCCCCATTAGGGTGACCAGATGTCCCAATTGTATAGGGACAGTCCCGATTTTGGGGTCTTTTTCTGATATAGGCGCCTATTACCCCCCTCGCCCGTCCGGATTTTTCACACTTGCCGTCTGGTCACCCTAGTCCCCATCTTGGCAGGGGGAGTCAGCTCCCGCGAGGGCGCCGGGGGGCGGGCGTTGCCCCTCCCTGGTGCCCGGGCAGGCGGAGCCGCTGGGACCGGGAAGGAGGGAGGGCTGGGGTTGGGGGGGATGGGTAGTAATTCAATCCCTGGCTCCCTCCCTCCTCCTCCCTCTGCCTCGGCGCCCGGCCAGCCCTGGGGGTGGGGACTCGGGTTTCCCAGCAGGGAAGAGAGAGAATGTGAAAGCGACAGAGGAGGAGAGAGACCAGCTGGGCCAGCTTCCAGCGGGGCTGGAGGAGAAGGGGGAGGCAGCAGGAGGAAAGGAGGGAGGGAGGAGGGAAGGAAGGAGGGAGGGAGGAGGGAAGGAAGGAAGGGGGAGGGAGGGAGGGAAGAAGGGAAGCAAGGAGGGAGGGAGGAGGGAAGGAAGGAAGGGGGAGGGAGGGAGGGAGGGAAGAAGGGAAGCAAGGAGGGAGGGAGGAGGGAAGGAAGGAAGGGGGAGGGAGGGAGGGAAGAAGGGAAGCAAGGAGGGAGGGAGGAGGGAAGGAAGGAGGAGGGAGGAGGGAAGGAAGGAAGGGGGAGGGAGGGAGGGAAGAAGGGAAGCAAGGAGGGGGGAGGAGGGAAGGAAGGAAGGGGGAGGGAGGGAGGGAAGAAGGGAAGCAAGGAGGGAGGGAGGAGGGAAGGAAGGAAGGGGGAGGGAGGGAGGGAGGGAAGAAGGGAAGCAAGGAGGGAGGGAGGAGGGAAGGAAGGAAGGGGGAGGGAGGGAAGAAGGGAAGCAAGGAGGGAGGGAGGAGGGAAGGAAGGAGGAGGGAGGAGGGAAGGAAGGAAGGGGGAGGGAGGGAGGGAAGAAGGGAAGCAAGGAGGGGGAGGAGGGAAGGAAGGAAGGGGGAGGGAGGGAGGGAAGAAGGGAAGCAAGGAGGGGGGAGGAGGGAAGGGGCCGATCCCCCGCCTGGGGCAGCAGCCCGTGGCCGAGCGAGCGAGCGGAGAGCTGCGGGAGAACGAGCGGGACGGGACGGGCTGCCCCGGCCGCGGCGGAAGGAGGATGAACCGGGGGAGGGAAAGTTTCGGGGGAACAAGCGAGTGAGGGAGCCGCGCCCCGGGCTCTGGAGGGGGAAGGAGGCAACGACCGGGAAGAGCCGCTGAGCCTCTCGCTGGGGCGTTTGTTTTCCTCTTTGTTTCGTTCTCTTCTTTTATCCTCCCTCCCTGCTTCATTCCCCCTTCCCCTTTTCTTCTCTCCCTCCTTCCTCCCTGCTTCATTCCCCCTTCCCCTTTTCTTCTCTCCCTCCTTCCTCCCTGCTTCATTCCCCCTTCCCCTTTTCTTCTCTCCCTCCTTCCTCCCTGCTTCATTCCCCCTTCCCCTTTTCTTCTCTCCCTCCTTCCTCCCTGCTTCATTCCCCCTTCCCCTTTTCTTCTCTCCCTCCTTCCTCCCTGCTTCATTCCCCTCTTCCCTTTTCTTCTCTCCCTCCTTCCTCCCTGCTTCATTCCCCCTTCCCCTTTTCTTCTCTCCCTCCTTCCTCCCTGCTTCATTCCCCCTTCCCCTTTTCTTCTCTCACTCTTTCCTCCCGGCTTCATTCCCCCTTCCCCTTTTCTTCTCTCCCTCCTTCCTCCCTGCTTCATTCCCCCTTCCCCTTTTCTTCTCTCCCTCCTTCCTCCCTGCTTCATTCCCCCTTCCCCTTTTCTTCTCTCCCTCCTTCCTCCCTGCTTCATTCCCCCTTCCCCTTTTCTTCTCTCACTCTTTCCTCCCGGCTTCATTCCCCCTTCCCCTTTTCTTCTCTCCATTCCTTGTTTTTCTCTCCCTCCTTCCCCCCCTTCCCTCCCTCTCCCCAGCTCAGAGCCAGCTGCAGCCCCTCCCAGGCAAAGTACAGCCCAGGGGGCCAGCGGGCGCCCAGCCCAGAGCCCGGGTTTGGCTTCAGCTGCTGGGCAAAGCCCCTGATTATGGGGTTGGGGAAGAAGCAAACTCCCAAGAGAGCCGCTGGCTGCTGAGCTCAGAGATTTCTTGGGAACTCAAAGGGAGGAGTTTGGCTTTCTTTCTTTTTCTTTTTCTTTCTTTCTTTCTTTCTTCTACACATTCAGCAAAAGACCTTATCTATCTCATCCTCAAACCCCTTGCACACTATCTATCTATCTATCCCCATCCACCCCCTCTATCTATCTCTCTATCTCTTTCTGCAAAAAAAAAAAAACCCTAGTCTGGAAGGGGGCTATTTTGGGGCACACTATATTTTTCTGGATTTTGACCTTTGCCAATTGGCGTTTGGACGTTGTGCTCTTTTGGTTCCGGTGCGTTTGCCATCTGGCTGGCTCGGCGCCGGCATCATTCGTGGCATGGTGCAAAATCTGGGGTTGGAGGAGATGCCGAAGCAAATGACGGGGTTTGAATTTTGAGGTAGTGGGGGGATTATTTCAATTTTCTTGGAAGTTGCAAAAAAAATTAACTCTGTGTGTGAGAGAGAGATTGTTTTCCGCACTTTAAAGTTGCCACAGTTTTCCCTGTGGATTAAAAACATTCTGGATTTCTGCATTTGCCTAATTTCTGGAATTTTTGATACATTAATTAGCAGAATTTCTCAGCAATTTCCACCCCAAGATAATGATTTTTTTTGCTAGCTTTGCGTAGAAAGTTTGCAACATTTCTGGATTTGTGAATATGCACCACTTCTTCTGTGGAAGGAGATTCAGGATTTAAGGACGCGATTTTGGTGAGGGTTCTGGAGTTTTTTGAGAGTTAGATTATTTTTTTCTTTCATTGTGGGGAAAAAGACTTGTCTAGATTTGTAGGGAGTCTGTGATTTTTCTGGAGATTTGAACTTGTTAAAAAAAATCTGGATTTGCAAAACCAGTATATTTTGAGGGATATTTCATGGCATTTCTGGTTATCCAAACTTGCAAAAAAGGGCGGAAATTTTGAGCTTTCCAAAAATCGTCTTGATTTGGGAACGTTTGCAAAAGCAGGAGTGTTGATGCTTGCGAGAATTCTGGAGTTTGGAATGGTGCCACATTTCTGGCTCCTTTGGCTCAGGAAAATGGTCTAAATTTGGGGGAAAGGTCGCAAGATTTCTACACAGTTGCAAGATTAATTTGCAAAAAATTGTCTGGATTTTTCGCTGGCAAGATTACGCAAAGGTTTGCAAGCTTTCCTGGATTGCCCAGGTCTGCAAAACCCCAATCTTGGATACTCTGAGCTTTGGGGAGGACCCTCTGGAAATGCCTGCCCTTTGCTTTCTGGTTGCAACTCAGTCCTGTTCTTGCAAAATAGGATTTTGTCCTAACTTGTTGAACCTCCTTGCGTGCCTCCCTCCACGCACCATGAAAGCAGCCAGGCCTCTCTGCATGTGTCTGTGCTCGCTGGATGTATTTTGCTGACCAAAGAAGCTGTTTGCAGAGCAGAAAAGACTCCTCGATCCTCTGGAAAATGACCGGGATTTTGCTCTTCCATGTCTGGACTTTTTGAAAAGAGTCGTGTTTGGATCCGAGGGGAAACCCAACGGATTTGCTGAGTTGGCTGGAAACTACTTAGGCTCAAAGTATTGGACTTGTTTGTTTGGCCTCCAAAACTCATGGAAGAAAGACTGAGGGACCTATAAGGAACTGGGACACTTTGAAATGATACTTTGACAAAAGTTTACAAGAAAATTGTGATTCTCTCTCTATCTCTTTCTTTCTCTCTCTCTCCATCCCCATATGCCCCCCACCCCCCATTCCACAGCAGAAAGAACTAAACAAATCTATAAACTCCAACGTATAATCTAGGCCTTAATTTACAGTTTAGAGGAAAGCTGTGATTGTCTTTCTTCCATTTCACACTCTTTTCTTCATCATTCACACCCTTTCCCAAGTTCACTCCCTTTGCTTTCTCCTATCACCCCACCTTCCTTCCTTCCTTCCTTTTCTCATCTGTCTCTTCCAACACAAGACCCCTCCCTGGAAGCACCATGTCTGTAAGTAGATTGAAGCTTGGGGTTACAGCCTTCCCATTTTCACCCTGACCTGGAATGGGTTGGCTGGGAATTTGCACGGGGTGGGGGGTTGTCTCTGCCACACCGACTGGGGGAAATGAGCCCTGTACTGGGGGATACTGGTCTGCCACCAAGCAGCACTGGGAGTACTGGTCCCTCTGCACACAGGCCCAGCCAGCCCTGGGGGTCCCAAACTCTCTTCCGGCAGCCCTCGGGGTCCTCGGTCTCTCTCCTAGCCAGCCCTGGGGGTCCCTGGCCTCTCTCCCGGCTCCCTGGGGGTCCCCGGCCCCACTCCCAGCCGTCCCTGGAGGTCTCCGGCTTCTCTCCCGGCTGTCCCTGGGGGTCCCCGGTCTCTCTCCCAGCCGTCCCTGGGGGTTCACTGCTCCCTCTACCCCCAGGCCCAGCTGGCCCGAGCGCTGTTCGACAATGTGGCTGAGTGCCCAGAGGAGCTCTCCTTCCGCCGGGGGGACCTGATGCTGGTGCTGCAGCCCAAGGTGCCTGGCCTGGCCGGCTGGCACCTCTGCTCGCTGCATGGGCAGCAGGGCATCGTCCCGGCCAACCGCGTCCGCATCCTGCCCGAGCCGGGGCCCCCCGACCTCTCCCCGGCGCCCCACAAGGAGAGCGCACCATCCACCCTCTACAACCCACCCCGGGGCCAGAGGAGGAGCAGGGCAGGGCAGAAGGAGGAACAGCAGGAGGTGAGAACCCAGGCGTCCGGGATCTCCCACCACCGCCTCCCTTCCCCCATCCAGCCAAGGAACCCAGGCTTTAGAGGTCCTCCAACACAATCACCCCTGGGGATCCCCCGTACCACTCCCTATCCCCATCACCCACAGCTCGGCCTGAGAACCCAGGTGTCTGGGCCCTGACCCCTCTCTGGCCCCCCCAGGTGTACGTGGTGCCCCCACCCGCCTGGCCGTGCCCGACCACCTGTGATGATATCTACAAGGTGCCCCGTGCCACCCGGAGAGACAGGGACCCCAGTGAGGTGAGAATGGGGGCAGGTGGGGGGAGGGGAAGGGGGCGGGGAGATGGGGGGGACCAGTGTCTTAGCCTTGATTCACTTTCGTTTCCCCCCGAACCCCAGGTCTACGACGTCCCCTCCTCCCTGCCGCGGGATGCTGCCCTGTCTGATACTTATGACACCCCCACGCCCTTCCCCAAGCAGGCAGTGCCGGACACCGACCCCTACAACGTGCCCCCCCCAGCCGTGCCCCCCCTGGGCCAGGAGGAGGAGGAGGAGGAGGAGGGATGGGAGGAAGAGCCGGCCCCCATCTACGCCACCCCATCCAACCTGCGCCGGGCGTCCGCCCTGCTCAACCTCTATGAGTCACCTGAGGAGCTGCTGGGGGGGGAGTACGACCTGCCAGGGCCTCCCCCGCCAGAGGCGGCCCTGGGGGGGCTGAGCCTGGGTGAGACGGGGGGCGTGGGCGGGCGCCCCCGGCTGCCCTCAGCCGAGAGCCTCTCACGCCGCCCCCTGCCGGCTCTGCCCTCGCCTGGTGCCCCCCGGAAGGGCAGCATCCAGGACCGTCCCCTGCCTCCGCCCCCGCCCCGGCTTGGGGGACTGGCTGGGGGGCTGGATGAGGGGGCGGGGGATGGGCACAGCGACTACGAGGGGATCCGGCTGGCAGAGGAATACGACTACGTCCACCTCAAGGTGAGCCGGGGGTGCCCCCGCCCCCCGAGCCCGGCTACCCGAGCCCTGACGCCAACCTGAGCCCGGCTACCCGAGCCCTGACCTCTGAGCCCTAACGCCAACCCGAGCCCGGCTACCCAAGCCCTGACCTCTGACCCCTAACACCAGCCAAACCTGGCTACCTGAACCCTGACCTCTGACCCCTAACACCAACCTGATCCCAGCTATCCGATCCCTGACCTCTGACCCTGGTCCTGACTCCAACCCAATCCTGGCTACCTGATCACTGGCCCAATGCCAGCCTGCGCCTAGCTACCCAATCCCTGACCTGTGACCTCTGCTTCATCCCAGCTTTCTGTCCAATAACCTCTAACCCTAATGCCATCCTGACCTCTGACCCCAGCCCCCAACCTCTGACTCCAGGTCACTGACCTCTGACCTTGACCCCAAAGCCAACAAAGCCCCAGGGTCCCTCACCTCTGACCTCAACCTCAGAGCCTGCCCCAAACGCCAATCGGACACTGCATTCCCTGACCCCTCATGTCAACCCTGTCCCACAATCACTGACCTCTGACCCCAGCATCGACCCTGACCCCAAATCTGACCTCTACCCCCTCCAGGGGACAGACAGGCTACAGCCCCCGGCTACAGACCGTGACCCCCCAGAGGAGGTGAGCGGCCCCAGACTCCAACCAGAGACCCCCATTTTGCTGGAGGAGGAGGAGGTAGGAGTGGTCCCTTCCCGGATGCTTGGGTCCCTTTCCCTGGTGGTGGATGGGGATCAAGCTGTCCCGGGTGCCTGGGTCCCATTTTCAGAAGGGTGGAGTCCTTCCTGGATGGTGGGTGGGTGAATGGGGGGCGTCAAGATTGCCTGGATTCCTTGGTCTCATCTCCTGGAACAGGGGGTCCCTCCCGCACTCCTGGGTCCTTCCCGACCCCTTCTCCCCAGCCTGGGGCAGGAATGACCCCTTCTAGCACTGACACCTTCCCTCCCCTGCCCCCCAGGTGCCCCCCAGCCCTGAGGACGCCCAGCTGTTGCAGTTCTACGCGGGCCAGTGCCGGACACACTGCGCCACCCTCCTGGCGGCCACGGAGGCCCTGCTGGCCAGCGCCGGGGCCAACCAGCCGCCGGGCGTCTTTGTGCCCCACGGGCGCTTTGTGCTCGTCACGGCGCACAAGCTGGTCTTCGTGGGCGACACGCTGGCGCGTCAGGCGGCCTCGGGCCCCCTGCGGGCCCGGGTGGGGGCAGCTGCCGGCGCCCTGTGCCAGGCCCTCAAGGGGGCCGTGCTGTCGGTCAAGGGGGCGGCACTGAGCTACCCCTCACCCCCCGCTGCCCGCCTGCTCCGGGAGCGCCTGGCCGAGCTCTCCCGGCGGGCCCAGGGCTTCACCAGCCTGCTCAGCACCCTGGCGCCCTCCTGACCCCCGGGACCTTTGACCTCTGACACCAACGATCCTTGGGTGACCTCTGACCCCCTCCCCAGGGTCCTCTGTGTCAATGAAGCCCATGACCTCTGACCCCCTGCCCATTAGCCCTGTATGACCTCTGACCCCCCTCCCCAGGGTCCTCTGTGCCTCTGCCACTTGGTCCTACCTGACCTCTGACATAGTCCCAAAGCCTCCTAGCAAATTATCCCCATGTGACCTCTGACCCCAAAAGCCCTACCCAAACCAATTGTGACCTCTGACCCTAGCCCAAGGCCCTCCCAGATCCAATGGCCTACTGCAATCTCTGACCCCTGGCTTGTTTCCCCTAAGCCATGACACTGTGACCCTTGCCCTTTGACCTTTAGCCTTCCACAACTGATCTTCCCCTTTGCCCTCCGCCCCTCTTTGACCTGGGTGCCCCGTTACCTTCACTCTTGATTCCACCCAAGGGCACCCCCTCCTGGCCTGGCCCCCCAACCAAAAAGCCCCTTGAGCCTTGCCCTGTGACCTCTGCCCCAGTCTAACTCTCACCCTGCAAAGCCCTGACCCACTTCATAGAGGGGAATCTTCCTATCATTGATGGTTCAGGTCTGGACTCATGGAGGGGGATGGACCTCACCCCCCCAGCCCCAGGGACCCCAGAGTTGCTTGGGGGGGGTCAGAGCAATGCCAAAGACTTGACTGCAGTTGGGCAGCACAAGAGGAACACCCCCCCACCCGGAGACGGGACAGCAGCGAGGGGGGTCAGCCAACACCAGCGGGGAGCAGAGGATCATGGGAGAATGGCCAACACCAAGCAGAGGATTACAGGAGACTGGCCAAGGCGACAGGAAGCAGAGGAGTCTGGGTAAAGCTCAGCAAAGGGGATGGTCCCCGTCCGCTGACGACTCCCCAGCCCCTGTACCCCCACTTCACAGCCCTGCCGGTGCCCCTCACTCCCAACCCGCAGCCAGGGAGCCCATGGGGTGACCTGTTCTCTCAGGAAAGATTTTTTCTATGTTTGTAAATAATAAATCAATGAAAAAAGCCAATTGTCTCTGTTCCTTGGGTGGGGGGAAGGCTGTGCACGCGTGCCCCTCCCTCCCCCCCCAGCAGTCAGCCTGCCCCTCCAGGGCCAGATCAGAACCAGCAACCCCCTCCCCCCATGTTCTATTCCCTAAGAAAGGTAGGGAGGGGACGGAGGGGCTGTTGGGGGGATTAGTTGGGAAGGGGCTATGCTGGGCAGGGCGGGAAGAGAGTCTGTGAACAGGAGGGGAGTTAGAGGCCAGGCTGTGGGCTCCAGTGGTTAGAGCAGGGGTGCGTCTGGGAGCCACGGGGGAGGGGAGTGAGGTCTAGTGGTTAGAGCAGGAGAGGCTGGGAACCAGGACACTTGGGTTCTTTCCCACTTCTGGGACGGGAGTGGGGGCTCGTGGTTGGGAGGCGGAGGGGACCCAGGACTCCTGGGTTCTCAGCCCAGCTCAGGGAGGCACCACCACCCCAGGACTCACAAACAAGCGCACACTGCTAGGCCCATCCAGGGGTGTGGGCGGGCCAGGCCCAGGAACACGCCTCGCCAGGTGACCATGTGAACTCCACGCCAGTGCCACACCTGGACTTATGGCAGGCCTGTGCCAGGCAACAACACGCCAGCAGGCCCGTGACACGTGAGGAACATGCCAACAACATTGCCAAGTGCCCAGCACACACACCAGCAACACACCAACTCCATGCTTGGCACATGCCCCACCCCATGCCCAGACATGCAAGCACACATGGGCACCATGCCAGCACCACACATGGGGCCAGGCTGACAGGCCAGCTGGCAAGGGGCACCCTCCAGTGGTGGGCAGTGGGATAACAGCTTCCTACTGAGGATGGCAGGGACCTGGGTTCAAATCCCAGACACCCACTCCCACCACCTCTGCACTGCCCCCCCTCACCAGCCTGGCTCCCACCTCATCTCCCCTGACATCAGAGGAAGGGGGCCAAAACATCTGGGCTCCCTGGGAGGGTGATGAGGTCTAATGGTAGAGGGGGGCAGCGGGCCCCTTGTCCCTGCTGTCTGCCCCCACCTCAACAGCTGAGACACCCCAGGGGGATGCCCCCATCCCTCTACAACTCCCTAACCTTTGCTGGGGCCTGCTATGGCCTCAGGGCCCCTCCCCCAACCTTGCCAGACCCCATCATTCTCTGGGGTACCCCCTAACCCCCTTTGACCCCAAATGCTCCCAGGGATTCCCCATCTTTATCAGGACCCCCCCCCCAGTCTCCCCAGAACCTCCAGAGGCCCCCAACCATGCTGGGACCCTCCCTCTTCTATGGCACCTCTCACAGGCCGCTACCACCCCCATCAGCAGAGACCCCAGAGAACCCCGCCCCCGACAAACCCCCAACTGAGACCACCCCCCCGCCACTGTCAAGGGCCCTTTTCACAGCACCTGCCCCCCATGACCCTGGTCATATGACACCCGCTCCCCAAACACCCCCTCCAACCCAAGTCACGTGATCAAGAGAAGACACCCAACAGACTTGTCTCAAGAGCCTAGATTTAGGACCCTCCAAACCCCACTCCCACCAAGGGACAGCAGAGCAAGCCAGCAGCTCAGGTCCCCTCCCCCGCGGGGGGGGGCTGGTTATCCAGGGACCCCTTGCCCCGGGGCTAAGATGCACCCCCTAACAACCCAGGAGTCCTGGTTCCCCACCCCCACCACAAGAGAACCCAGGTGTCCTGTCCCCTCACAAATCACCCTTAACCCCCTTTTCTTTCTTCCAAAAACATCTTTTATTTTTTTTCCACCCTCAAAACATTTTTTTTTAAGTTTTTTTTCTCCCCCCTGCCCTTGCCCCCCCCGGCCCCCAGCCTGGAAATTAAAATAAAGGGGGGAGGGGAAAGGCCCCCCCAATCCCTGCTCCGCCCCCCTCCCCCAAAATAGTTAATCTGGTCGCAAGAGCTCCGTGCGGCTCGACAATTCCTTCAGGCTAAAGCCACCTGCAAAGATAAAGACACTGAAATACGGCAGGTAACAGCCCCAGCCCGGACGGAGGGAAGGGGACAGGGGCAGCGGAGGAGAGGAGAGAGCCGGGCAGGGGCAGCGCCAGGGCCAGGGCCCACCCGCCGGGGGGCGGGACAGGGACGAGACGGGGGAAGGGAGGAGTGAAGCGCCGCCTGCCCAAGGCGGAGAAGTGAGGGGCCGGGCGCAGAAAGCGGGAAGGAAGCGGGCCGCCCTCGGAGGGATGGCGGGAAAAGGGGGAGCGAAGAAGGACAGAGAGGAGGAGTGCCCTGTGCTCAGCGAGCCAGCCCCCGCCCCCGCCGCGGCCCCACGGGGCTGCTGCAACACTGTCACATTCTTCTCTTTTTTTTTTTTTTTCTTTTTCTTTCCCAAAAAACACTTTTTTAGTAAGGGGAATACCATGAGGTTGCTCTCGCCCGGCCCCTGCAGAGGAGAGAAGAAGGGAGCGAGTTAATAAACCAGGGGGAAGAGAGAGGAGAAGAGAAATACAACCGAAGAACCCAGGAGTCCTGGCTCCCAGCTCCTCCTGCTCTAACCATTACACTCCCCCCCCCCCCCCCCAACACACACATACACCCTCCACTCCACCCAGGAGTCCTGGCTGCTAGCCCCCACTGCTCTAATCACTAGCCCCCCCACACTCCCAAGCTGGGCAGAAAATCCAGGAGTCCTGGCTCCCAGCCCTCCCCCTTGCCCCTGCTCTAACCACTAGCCCTCACTCCCCACCCAGAGCTGGGGATAGAACCCAAGAGTCCTGGTTCCCCAGCCCCTGCTGCTCTGACCACTAGACCCCACAGCCCTCCCAGAACCAGGAGAGAACCCAGGCATCCTGCCTGCAGCAGCCTGGCCCCCCAGACCTGTATGAGCGTCCGCGGGCTCGGCTGCTGAATCCACTGTAGAACCGGGCCCGGGAGCTGGTGTAGCCAGAACCGCGCCCTCGGTACCGGGCCCGGGGAAAGCCCCGGTCTGTGGTGCTGATGCCGGGCCGGTTGGTCCGCTTGGGGATCACCTGTGGGAGAAGAGGGGGGGTCAGAGAGGCCCAAGCAGGGGGAGGGAAGCGGGGTGCAGCAAGGCTCAATGAGGAACTTGGGGGCAGGGGAGAGAAATGGGCTAGAGAAGGGAAGGTGGGGCTGGGGTTCAGGGACAGAAGCTTGGGGTTCAGGGTGATGGGTGAAGCTCCTGTAAGCCAGGAGAGAGCCTAGAGATCAGGGCAGGATAGGGGCCCAATCTCGGGATTCGGGGGCCTGGGTTTTAGGGTGTGGGGCTTACCTTGATCTGTCGCCCCCTGAACAGGGATTCATCTAGCGCCATGGAGGTGCGCACAGACTCCTTGTCGGAGAACTCGATGTAGGCGAACCTGGGGGGGATCCCACATTAGACACCCCAAAAACATAGCCCCCATAAAAACCAGCCCACAGGGCCGCAGCTTCTCCTCCAGCCCCTCCCTTATGATCCACACTCCTCCTCCTGCCGCTCCACGAGCCCCCCAGAATCTCACTCACCCTTTGGGGTGCCCACTGTATTTATCACACAGGATGGTGACGCGGTTGACAGACCCGCAGCCGTGGAAATGAGCCTCTAACTCTTCAGCCGTCGCCCCATAATCCACCTGAAAAAGAGGGGGGGCAATGGGCTGAGAAACAGTGTCCCTTGAATCCCCCCAGCCCCTCCATGGCTCCCCCACTTACATTACCCACGTATATGGATCGAGCGTCTGCCTCCATCTTTTCCTCTAGGGACATTATGACTGGTCCAGCTGTGAAGAGAGAACAGGGGGCTTAGTAAGGGGGGGCTGTACCCCAAATCTCTTCCAGGGCACACCCCCTTTCCCAGAACAGAGAGGGGAAGACCCCCCTTTCTGCATTGGATTTATACCAGCATCTGGCATAACTAGTATGGACAGATGTATAAACAAAGATGTTTATACAGGCCCTACACAAACAACCCAAGGGGTAGCGTTTATGTAGGACCTACCTAAAAGGTTCAGAACAGCATGAGTGAGGTCGGTGTTTACATAGGTCCTATGCAAACCAGATGGGAACATTTATGTAGGTACTACACAAACAAAATTCAGAGGGGCATAATTTGCATGTGTCTCCAGGCTTTACAATCGCCAAGGGGGTCTGAGTTTGAATGTGGGGGGCGGGGAGGTTACAGTTTACATAGGTCCTACACGAATACAATTCAGAACAGTGAGACTCCCCTGGAGTCTGGAAATCACCACCATCCACATGGTCCAAGGGCGATATTGCAGGGATGGTTCAGGGCAGTGCAGTTCACAGATGCCCCCTAACTTCGCCACGTACAGGGGGCCTGAGGTTTATGGGGGGCCAGACAGGGGGTGCGAGGAGGTCTCACCATTGCCAGGCGGGGGGCTCATGTTCATCTGCTTCTCCACCTCGTTCTGCAACTCCTTCAGCTTCTCCGCCTCCTCCTCCATCTCCCGCACACGGGCTTTGATGGCCTCCAGCTCCTGGGGCACGGGGGGGGGAAGATTGGGGGCCTGAGTCACCGCCCTCACTCCCCCGTTGACATCTGCCACCCCCATGTCACCCTCCCCCACCAACTCCCCCCATAGCTCTGCCCTGGCCCCCAACAAATCTCCATCCTACCCAGGACCCCCAGCAAAGAGCCCAGCACCCCAAATCAGCACCCCCCTCCCTACAGCCCCCTCTCCTGTTTAGTCCCCTGAAAACTAGCCCCACCCAAGACCAGATCTGCCCCCTCATGGGCAGCCCCCCCCTCGGGCCCCTCCCCCCCACGGGCCCCAGATCCCTCCCCCCCTCCTCGTGCCCCTCCCCCCACGGGCCCCAGATCCCTCCCCCCCTCCTCGTGCCCCTCCCCCCACGGGCCCCAGATCCCTCCCCCCCTCCTCGTGCCCCAGATCCCTCCCCCCCTCCTCGTGCCCCAGATCCCTCCCCCCCTCCTCGTGCCCCTACCCCACGTTCCCCCGCCCCGCTCACCGGGTCCTCGATGGCGGGGTCTCCGGGGTCCCCCTCTCCCAGCCCGGCCTCCTCCTCCAGCTCCTCGGGGGGGCGGTGGGCACCGGGGCCCCCCCCAGGCCCGACCCGGGGGGCGGAGGCGGAGGGGGGGGGCGGGTGCGGGGGCCCCCCCCGTGCGCCGCCCCCGGCCCGGCCCCCCCCGTCCAGCAGCAGCTCCCCCTCCTCCTCCTCTTCCTCCTCCGCACCCCCCGCCCGCCGCGCGCGGGGCCCCGCCCCCAGTTCCGGCCCCCCGCCCAGCCCGTTCCCGTACTGCGCGGGGGGGCCCCCGCCCGCCTCCGGCCCCTCCCCCGCCCCGCGCGCGCCCCCGCTGCCCCGCGCCGACGAGGCCATGGCGGCTGCGACTCTGCCCCGCGCTGGGCCGGCCGCTGCGCCGCGCGCCGCTCCTCATTGGCTGCCCGAGCTGGGCCCGCCCCCTCACCCCCACGCCATTGGCTGGCTCGGCGGAAGGGCCTGGAGGACGCGTCTGATTCGCCGACGGCCCACCATCGCTCTATTCCATTGGCGAAGGCGCCCGCTCGTCTACGGAGCTCTCCCGTGTGATTGGCCGTCCGCCGGAAGGGCCGTGCCCAAACCTCTGATTGGCCCAGTGTCCACTATCGCTCGAATCCTATTGGGGAAGAGTCCCGCCAGTCAAGAGATCGCTGCATTCCGATTGGCTGCCGGGGGCCAGTGGCGGGGCGTAAACTCTTGACCGGCTGAGCATCATGATTCGTCACGTCCCACCCGTGGCTGCGGCCCTGATGGGATAAACCGGCCCAGCCTCAGCGGCGGGGGGCTCCGCCGCCCTGAGCGAGCCCCGCCCACGTCGGACCTTTTGACCCCAACTTGAGCCCCTGGGCCCCTGACCCCTCCCTGCTTCACCCCTCCCAGGGGCCTGGCCCTGAGACCCCGCCCCCGCCCCCGCCCCGCCCCCGGGTCGCTAAACCAACATGGCCGCCCCGGGCCTGAATCACCCCCCGCCCCACGCGCCCCCCGCCGCTCTGGGGCCGCCGGGGCCGCGGGGCTTCTTCAGGCTCCGTGATGGCACCTGCTCCCGCCCCGCCCCCACCCCCCGTGCCCCTCACTCCCGCCCCGCAGCCCCCCCCGGCCCCGCCCCCACCCCCCGTGCCCCTCACTCCCGCCCCGCAGCCCCCCCCGGCCCCGCTCCCACCCCCCGTGCCCCTCACTCCCGCCCCGCAGCCCCCCCCGGCCCCGCCCCCCACCCCCCCCCGTGCCCCTCGCTCCCGCCCCGCAGCCCCCCCCGGCCCGGCCCCGCCCCCCCCCCCGAGCCCCTCGCTCCCGCCCCGCAGCCCCCCCGGCCCCGCCCCCCACCCCCCCGAGCCCCTCGCTCCCGCCCCGCAGCCCCCCCCGGCCCCGCCCCCCACCCCCCCCGTGCCCCTCACTCCCGCCCCGCAGCCCCCTCCTGGCCCCGCTCCCACCCCCCCCGTGCCCCTCACTCCCGCCCCGCAGCCCCCTCCTGGCCCCGCTCCCACCCCCCCCCGTGCCCCTCGCTCCCGCCCCGCAGCCCCCTCCTGGCCCCGCCCCCACCCCTCCCCGAGCCCCCTCACTCCCGACCCGCAGCCCCCCCCGGCCCCGCCCCCCACCCCCACCCCCCCGTGCCCCTCACTCCCGACCCGCAGCCCCCCCCGGCCCCGCCCCCCCCCGTGCCCCTCACTCCCGACCCGCAGCCCCCTCCTGGCCCAGCCCTGCCCCCCGCCAGCTCTGCCTCCCCTCAGTCCCCCCCACACCCATTCCCTGGCTGGCTTCCCAGGATCCATTAGCTGCATCTTGTCTCATGAATTATTGATCCCAGATTGGAACATTTTAGACCCTTCACCTCTCAGGTACATGGTGTCCCCAGCTGGGCCTAGACTCCCGGACGCCTGGGTTCCTGCCAGGTTAACTCCGTATGGTCTGGAAGGAGCAACTACCCCACCCCCACCTCCTGGCCGGGGCGGGGGGGAAGGGGGAGCCCTGAGCATTGGAAGGAGGGGAGAGTGCTTGGAGGGGATGTGCCGTTTCTGAGCATTACAGTAATTGCCAAGTCAGATTTTGTGTGCACCTGGACCAGGAGGGATGGAGGGATATTGAAAGAAGGAGAGAGTGGGAGGGAGGAGGGGCGTCTGCTGGAGGAAAGAAGGTGAAAGAGACAGAGAGAGAGCCACGGTGAAGCCCCCTCGGAGCGACAGAACGAGACAGCTCCTAGCCAGAGCAATAGAAAGATGGATCGCAAGGAGACAGAATGAACCAGCGGAGAGTGACCCAGCCAGACAGAGCCCGGCCGGAGCGAGAGAACGAGAGAGTCTGGAGGAAAGGAAAGGAAAGTGGCAGGCAGAGTTACGGCAGGATAGGAGGAGAGAGGAGACAGCGCAGAAGCGACCGAACGAATCAGAGCCTGGACAGAGAGAGACACTCAGACTCTCAGGAAGGGAAGAACCTGGAAGACAGAGTGACGGAGAGAGAACAAACCAGCGCCTGGCTGCAGTGATAAATTGGGACTCTCCAGAAAAAAGGAACAAGAAAGCAACAACAGAGAGATAGAAGGAGGCAGAGTCCAGACGGAGACGTAGTCTCGGAAACTCTGGAAGGGAGGAACGTGGAAGGCAGCGAGGAAGGAGTAGAATAAGCCAGCGCCCTGCCAGAGCAATAGAACAAGACACGGCCGAGACGGAGAGAGAGAAGGAGAATTTCGGGAAGGGAAGAACGTGAAGATAGCAACAGAACAAGTCGGGGTCCAGACAGAGAAACAGACTTGGACTCTCTAGAAGAGAACAATGTGGAAGGCAGCGATGAAGTGGTAGACTGAGCTGGTGCCGTAATGGAGCGATAGAATGAGACGCAGCCCAGATGGAGTGATAGAAAAAGGGAGCACTTTGTTGAAGCAGTAGAATGGACAGAGAGCTAGGAGGACTCAAAACCCAGATAAAGCGATAGAGCGAGCCAGGGCCCAGAAAGAGCGATAGGAGGAGGCCTGGACGGGTGACAGAAGGACACAGGGCCTGGACGGAGGGACAGAATGAGGCCTGGGCGGAGCGACAGACAGGTACAGCTCCCGGATGGAGCAACAGAATGAGCTGGTTCCCAGACAGAGCGATAGAACAAGCCAGCACCTTGACAGACCAATAGACCGACACAGCGCCCGGGGGCAGCGATAGAAGGAGCCGGCGCCCGGGGGCAGCGATAGAAGGAGCCGGCGCCCGGGGGCAGCGATAGAAGGAGCCGGCGCCCGGGGGCAGCGATAGAAGGAGCCGGCGCCCGGGGGCAGCGATAGAAGGAGCCGGCGCCCGGGGGCAGCGATAGAAGGAGCCAGCGCCCGGGGGCAGCGAGCTGGCCTCCACCCCAGGCCCCATGGCACGCGCTCCCCCGCCCCCCAGCGACATCCCGCGCAACCTGAGCTACATCGCGGGGCTGTACGAGCGGGCGTACTACCGCACAGTCCGGCCCAGCCTGGGCGACGACTCCGACTCCGAGGCCGAGGGGCGGGCCCGGGGGGCCCGGCCACGGGGACGGCAGAGCCGCATGGGTGGCGGGGGGGGGAGCCGGCGCCGCAGGGCCCGCTCCGCCCCGGCTGGGGGCCCCGGTGGGGGATCCCGCAGCTGCAGCCCCGGCTCCCGCAAGCGGGTGCGCTTCGCCGACGCCCTGGGTCTGGAGCTGGCCAGCGTGAGGCACTACTGGCCGGCCGAGCTGCCCCAGGTCCCTGAGCGCGTCCACACCCAGCTCCGGCGCGATGCCCTGCGCCACTTTGCCCCCCTGCGCCCCTTCCAGGTAACGGGGGGCGTGATTGGAGGCAGGGGAGAGCTAAGGGCTGGGGAGGGCAGGGGCAGGCAGGGTGGGGGCAGGGAAGGGGATGAGAGCTGGGGGGCACGTGCCTAGCTCTGCCCCCCCAGCAGGGGGCACCGGGGTCCAGGGTGGGGAACAGCGTGACATTAATTTTCTTTCTTTCTCTCCATCCCCACCCCCACCGCCCGTTTTCTCCAGGACCCCCAGGACCCCCTGGAGGGGCGCCTGCCGCTGGCACCATGTTTCTGGGACCCGCTGGGGCTGCCAGACTTCGGGGCGCGGCTGGGGGCGCAGGGCGTGTGTCTGGAGGGGGTGCGGGCCGGGGGGATGGGGGTGGCGGGGACCCTGCGGGTTCTCAACCTGGCCTACGAGAAGCGGGTCAGCGTCCGCTACAGCTGGGACGGCTGGGCCAGCTATAGGGAGGCCCCCGCTGCCTACGCCGGCCCCTCCGCCGGACCCCCCTCCGACCGCTTTGCCTTCCGCCTGCCCCTGCCCCCTGGGGGCACCCTGGAGTTCGCCCTGCGCTGCCACGTGGGGGGCCAGGAGCTGTGGGACAACAATGCGGGACAGAACTACATCCTGCGGGGCGGGGGGCGGGCCGAGGGGCCCCCCAGTCCCCTGCAGGACGGAGACGGGGGCTGGATCCACTTCCTGTAGGGGGCCCCACATCCTCTGCGGGGACTGAAACGTCGGACCCCAAAGCCATGGGATGGGGGGGCAGAAATAGGGGGTGAGATACAGGGGAGGGGCCTGATGGGTGGAGGGGGGAGACAGGACTTCTAGGATGGGGTGTCCAGCGGAGGGTGGGGCTAGGATGGGGGCGGAACTCAAAACAAAGACGCCCCCCACATCAGGCACTGCCCTCTGGGACCTGCACCCCCACCCAGGACGTTGGGGGAGCCATTGCCTTATAGGGGACACTAAATCCCATCTGAACCTGCCCCCAGCTCGAGGGGAGGGTCTGGCTGTATCAGGGGGGGTGGGGGGCAAGGACATTGGGAGGTCATTAACTGGTGGAACTCCCTGCTGGTGGACAGTGCTGCACTCAACCTGCTGCAAGCCAGGACCAGTCAAAGCCACCCGGCCAATCCGGGATGGGGGTCCGTATCACACTGGTTGGGCCCCTGGGGTGATCCAGGGGGGATGTACCAGGCTGGCTGTTGTGGGCAGGTTTCCCCCACGACCGCAGCCCAGAGGGGGGAGGGAAGGTGCCACGTTCTCCATGGCACATTTGTCCGGACACCAGGGCTGCCCACATCTTGGCACCCAACGCCCCCTCGGACCAGCCCCCTGCTCCCCCAGCCCTGCCTCTGGCCTCTGACTCCCAACCTGCAGCCCCCTGCCGCCCCAGCCCTGCCGGTGCCCCTCACGCCCGACCTGCAGCCCCCTGCACCCTGCCGGTGCCCCCTGCAGCCCCGGGGGCCCCCCTGGCTCCATCGTGGGCCGGTTTCCCCAGGGCAGCAGCCGGTTTCTCTTCCGGCCCAGAGGAGCGTCTGTGTCTGAGAGAACCCAGGAGTCCTGGCTCCCAGGCCCCGCAACAGGGAGGGAACCCAGGCGTCCGCCTGGTGGCCGGGTTTCCGGGCTGGGCTCCGTGGCAGCCAATGGCCGGGCCGGTCCCGCCCCCCGGGCCGCGGCCTCCAATCCCCGCCCGGAGGGGCCCAGGCCAGGCCGAGCCGCGCCGGGCAGGGATCGGGATGGTGCCGGCCCAGCCCTGGCAGCACCGCAGGGAGGGTGAGTTCGGCCGCCCTTCCCCCCCCATCGGCGCTGGCCTGGGTCAACCCGTCCCCGCTTTTGTGTCCGGGCTCCTTGCCCCCTCCCGGGAGAGAACCCAGGCGTCCGGGCTCCCAGCTCCTTCCCCTCCCAGGAGAGAACCCAGGTGTCCTGGGCGCCCTTAAAGGGCCAGTGCAGGGGAAGCCCCGCCCCCTGAGTCTCCATTACCCAGGATGCAAGTGGAGCAAAGTCCCAAAACTTGGGAGGAAACTAAAATCGGAGGAGGAGGGAACGTGTGAGTGGGGGGAGGGGCTGGGGGCTCTTGGGGGAAGAGGGGAGGCTTGGGGGGAACCCCGGAGAGAAAGAGGGGGATTGTGGGGGGTCTCTGGGGGTTGGGGGATACCAGGAGGAGAGACTGAGACAAGGGTCGGTGTCGCAGAGAACCCAGGAGTCCTAGCTCCCCCCACCCGCTCTAACCCACTGGACCCCGCCCTCTCAGAGCCAGGGAGAAAACCCAGGCGTCCCAGCCCCCCACCCCAACCCACTGGACCCCCCGACCCGCCCTCTCAGAGTCAGAGAGAGAACCCAGGTGTCCTGGCTTCCAGCCCCTCCCCGCCGTAACCCACCAGACCCCGCCCCTCTTACAGCAGGGATAGAACTAGGTGGGGCTGGGGGTCTCGGAAAGTGTAGGGGGTTAGAAGGGGGTCGGAGGGAGCTGGGAATTGGTGAGGAAACTGTCTGTGGGGAGGTCGCTGGGAATGGCTGGGGGAGGGGATGGGGAGTCTCTGTGGGGTTGGGGGAGCTGGGGGATCTTGGGGAGAAGCTGGTGTGGGGGTCTCTTGGGGAACTGGGGAGAAGCTGGGGTTTGGAGGAGTTGGGGTCAATGGGGAGCCTCTGGGGGAGGGACTGGGGAGAAGTTGGGGGTTTGGGGAGGTATCTGGGGTTTGGGAGCCTCTGGGGAACAGCTGGAGAGTGGGGGTCTCTGGGGGAGGAGCTGGGGTTGTGGGTGGCTGGGAGGTGGGGAAACGGTAGAGTTGGAGTTGGGGGGTCTCTGGGGGAGGAGCTGGGGTTGTGGGTGGCTGGGAGGTGGGGAAACGGTAGGGTTGGAGTTGGGGGGTCTCTGGGGGAGGAGCTGGGGTTGTGGGTGGCTGGGAGGTGGGGAAACGGTAGAGTTGGAGTTGGGGGTCTCTGGGGGAGGAGCTGGGGTTGTGGGTGGCTGGGAGGTGGGGAAACGGTAGGGTTGGAGTTGGGGGGTCTCTGGGGGAGGAGCTGGGGTTGTGGGTGTCTGGGAGGTGGGGAAACGGTAGAGTTGGAGTTGGGGGGTCTCTGGGGGAGGAGCTGGGGTTGTGGGTGTCTGGGAGGTGGGGAAACGGTAGGGTTGGAGTTGGGGGGGTCTCTGGGGGAGGAGCTGGGGTTGTGGGTGGCTGGGAGGTGGGGAAACGGTAGGGTTGGAGTTGGGGGGTCTCTGGGGGAGGAGCTGGGGTTGTGGGTGTCTGGGAGGTGGGGAAACGGTAGGGTTGGAGTTGGGGGGTCTCTGGGGGAGGAGCTGGGGTTGTGGGTGGCTGGGAGGTGGGGAAACGGTAGAGTTGGAGTTGGGGGGTCTCTGGGGGAGGAGCTGGGGTTGTGGGTGGCTGGGAGGTGAGGAAACGGTAGGGTTGGAGTTGGGGGGTCTCTGGGGGAGGAGCTGGGGTTGTGGGTGGCTGGGAGGTGGGGAAACGGTAGGGTTGGAGTTGGGGGGTCTCTGGGGGAGGAGCTGGGGTTGTGGGTGGCTGGGAGGTGGGGAAACGGTAGGGTTGGAGTTGGGGGGTCTCTGGGGGAGGAGCTGGGGTTGTGGGTGGCTGGGAGGTGAGGAAACGGTAGGGTTGGAGTTGGGGGGTCTCTGGGGGAGGAGCTGGGGTTGTGGGTGGCTGGGAGGTGGGGAAACGGTAGGGTTGGAGTTGGGGGTCTCTGGGGGAGGAGCTGGGGTTGTGGGTGGCTGGGAGGTGGGGAAACGGTAGGGTTGGAGTTGGGGGGTCTCTGGGGGAGGAGCTGGGGTTGTGGGTGGCTGGGAGGTGAGGAAACGGTAGGGTTGGAGTTGGGGGGTCTCTGGGGGAGGAGCTGGGGTTGTGGGTGGCTGGGAGGTGGGGAAACGGTAGGGTTGGAGTTGGGGGGTCTCTGGGGGAGGAGCTGGGGTTGTGGGTGGCTGGGAGGTGGGGAAACGGTAGAGTTGGAGTTGGGGGGTCTCTGGGGGAGGAGCTGGGGTTGTGGGTGGCTGGGAGGTGGGGAAACGGTAGGGTTGGAGTTGGGGGGTCTCTGGGGGAGGAGCTGGGGTTGTGGGTGGCTGGGAGGTGGGGAAACGGTAGGGTTGGAGTTGGGGGGTCTCTGGGGGAGGAGCTGGGGTTGTGGGTGGCTGGGAGGTGAGGAAACGGTAGGGTTGGAGTTGGGGGGTCTCTGGGGGAGGAGCTGGGGTTGTGGGTGGCTGGGAGGTGGGGAAACGGTAGGGTTGGAGTTGGGGGGTCTCTGGGGGAGGAGCTGGGGTTGTGGGTGGCTGGGAGGTGGGGAAACGGTAGAGTTGGAGTTGGGGGGTCTCTGGGGGAGGAGCTGGGGTTGTGGGTGGCTGGGAGGTGGGGAAACGGTAGGGTTGGAGTTGGGGGGTCTCTGGGGGAGGAGCTGGGGTTGTGGGTGGCTGGGAGGTGGGGAAACGGTAGGGTTGGAGTTGGGGAGGAGTTGGGGTTGGGTCTTTAGCATATTAGGAAGCTGTATTCGCTTATTTTACACAATTCCCACATGGTGGAATTTCTGGGCAGTTCCCTACTAATTGGTCACTGCTGAGGAGGCTGATTGGCGGATAACCACCAGGGACTTGTTGAATCTTGGGTGACAAATCAGGATGCTCTTTTCTGGAGGTGGAGGCGGGGCACCTATAAGACCAAGGCCCTGCAGGGATGTCTGGTCACCCCCGGATTGAATCTAATTCCTCGTTCTTCAGGTTTGTTGGGCATTGTTTGGCCCATGACCTGGTAATTGCTAATCACTCATCCGTTATTTCCGTAACGAGGGGCCCGTCAATTAATAGTGGAGTGGTAACGAATAGGGGCTAATTTCAGGACTGGTGAGTTCTCGGTCCAGCTTGGTGAGCAAGGGAAAGACCCGATTGGCCCCAGTGATCTTGTTAATGTAGGGTCTGGGCCATTGTTACATTTCAATCATATTGACAGGATCAGTGCTTAGTTACTTTAATTAGATTGATTGGTTTACTTTAATGAGCTCTGTTCTTTGGGGAACAAGAACTGTTGCTGTACGTCTGCTGCAGGTTAGGAGCCAGGACTCCTGGGTTCTATCACTGGCCCTGGGAGAGGAGTGGGGGTCTAGTGGTTAGAGTAGCAGAGCTGGGAGCCAGGACTCCTGGGTTCTAGCCTTGCCTCTGGGAGAGAAGTGGGGTCTAGTGTGCCAAGCGTAGTCAGGCCCACCCCTCCAATCAGTGACATTTCTCTGTTTGTCTGTAACGTGATGACCTTTGAATGCTGCAACCAACCGAGTCCAAAACGTCCGGAAATATGGCAGGCATTGGTGGAGAGAACCCCATCTGTTGGAGTGAATCCCGGAGACACAACAAATGCCCTCACACTGACAACCTGCTCGGCCGACATCGGGTACAAAGTCTGAGACCCCAGAGCGAGCCAACGGTTTTAGGGAAAGTGGTTTATGACCGTTAGGATTGCTAAAAATTAGAAAACCAGCAATGGCTCCTCTACTTAGAGCTCTAAAGGTTGATAGTTTGTGTGCTCCGATACCACTGGGTTGTACCTTACATACATTCACGGTCCTAGTTCCTCTGGCTGCGTTGCTCTTCCGCTCATCCACAATAAGGATTGGTTGATAAACCTCAAAGACTGTGGGATGGAACCGAACTAATGAGGATTCGTAGAGGTGACAGCCAGTTGACACACTAGATCATCCAGTTTGGATCACAAGCTGTTCAATTTACCCATTGTCCCTCTATTTAGCCTTAATAACATGCATTAGACTAAAGCGTATTTTCCAGTCTGGATTTGAAGAGCTCAAGATATGGAGATGCCACTTCCCTTGGCTGTTTGGGCCAATGGTTTTCTTCCGGAATTGGGGCTGTCTTTCCAATCGGAATTTGGCTGCCTGCCGCGTTCAGCTGTTGGTTTGGATTCTGCTTTTTTCCGCTAGATTACAAAGCCCTTCAGCACTGGGTATTGGTACGTAGACACCATCGGAGAAGGTGGAAGAATGGACAATGTTCTTCAAAAAAATAGGGTTCTCCAGTGCTCCATCCTCTGGGCATTGGCTGAGCTGAGGAAGCCCTTATGTAGGAGTGATAAGATCTGATTTTGAATTTTATAGTTCACTGTCTATCCTGCCCAGGACCAACAAGCAACCAGCAGCAACCAAAGCAAAACGTCAAACCACGTGGTGTCAACAGTGTCTGCAGACCGAGGATGCGCTGCGTGCCATTACCCAGGTGGTGGAAGCCAGCACCTGGTGTCACAGGGAGAGCGCCAGAGGCTAGTTCATGCCATGGAGATGGCTCTCCAACAGTGGCTGCAGGGGGACCGTTGTTGCCATGTCACTACCTGTGCCTTGGAGACACTGGTCAAACGCGCCAGTCAGTTGGTAGCGCAGAGAGCGCGCCAGCAGCAAGCTCGCACCATGGAGATGCCTCTTCAATGCCAGTGGCAGCTGCAGGGGGACCCCTGGCGCCAGGTTGTTGCCCACACAATGGAAACGATGCTACAAAGCTAGCGGCATCTCCTGGAAGAGCAAGAGCATCATGCATTTGCCTGCATCACGGAAACGAAGCTCCACCATGAGCAACATCTGGAAGACGAAGCTGGCTGCACCGTGGACACTTCGGCCGAAGGTGCTGATGGATTGTTGCTTAAATGGCCCTTCCATGGGAACCTGGCCCATTAGTCACTTACGACGGCAAGCAGCCAGATGTGATCAGGAAGAGGTTACCAATGCGGATCCATCTCAACTTGATCGCACGGCTCTAGGGTGCAGCGAAGACCAGGGGCGTTGGGAGCGATTTCTAGGAGCGGTCGGAGCCGGGGGCTCTCAGAAGCAGCACACGCAGTAAGCCATTTGCACTGAACTCAAGGGGCCAGCCGAGCTCGGGGCTCGTTAGCCTACTTCGAAGTGCCAGCAGCCATGCCAGTTCTCGGTAGGGTGGTTACAGTCCCTGCTGCCTAGAGCCTCCCTGGCAGCGTCGGAGTGGGTCAGCCGCAGCATTACAGAAAGACGGAGAAGCAACCAGTGTGGGCTTGGATAACACCCGGCGCCCGGCTTCCATAAGCGAAGAAATGCACGACCCTCCAGTTTCCAAATTACCGGTCAAATATTTTGTGGTATTAGTGACTAATTAGTAATTATTAGTCAATTATTTAATTAGCCAGTCAATAATCAAGCAATCCTTTCCACGAGCTAATTATTGTTATAACAGTTTGACTGTTTCTTTAATTGTTAACCAGTCAGTTCATCACTGAGCAATCCCTTCTTGAAGGTAATCACCAAGTAATGCAATCGGGGTTCGCTTATTTCTTAGCCAGTAATTACGCATTAAAACAAATTGCATTATTAGTAATTATTGTGTGTCTTGTCCTAGCATCTCGGCAGCCTTGTCACAGACACACAAGCACGATTGCTGCCCCAGAAAACTTATTTTAAGGACCGATCAACTATGTCCCTAGCTAACAACTGACCCAAAGACGTAATTGGCCCTAATTAGCTAAAGAAGGTAGGAGCTGGTCCTTGAGTCCCCTGAAATATGATGGAAATGAATTCCTGGGTATGTATTTCATTTCATTATTTGAATGTTTCTGAGTTCTTTGAGGCAAGAACTGTGCTGTGTGTTTCCTGCCTGGTGGGGGGTGGCTGCCAGGACTCCTGGGTTCTATCCCCAGCTCTGCGAGGGTAGCAGGGTCTAGTAACTTAGGGAAGGGAGGGAGCTGGGAGTCAGAACTCCTGGGTTCTATCCCCATCCCTTTCACCGGCATGTGTCTCTCTTCTCAGGTCTCAGGCTCCCCGGGGGGACGTGGGGCTGACAATTTGGGGTTCAGACCCCCTTACGGCAGGTAAGAGCCTTCACTCCCCATTGCTGTCTGGGCGGGGGGGCAGCAATCACCCCCAAACCACCCCCTGGGGGGAGGAGATTGCCTGGCTTCCCATAGAGCTCTGGGGCACCCCACACCGCCCTCCTTGGTGTCTCCTGCTCATTGTGTCTCGCACTCTCTCTCCCCACAGCTGTCCCCGTGGGCCAGCTGGCCCCGGAGCCCCAGGCCAAGGACCCCCCGGTGGCAGGGCCAGCCATGCCCCCCAACAAGGAGTCGCCAGGCCGCCCCGGCTCGCCAGCGGCCCTCATCTGCCTGCCGCCCATCTCGGAGGACCTGCAGCTGGTGTGGACCCAGGCGTCCCAGACCAGCGAGCTGGACGGCCACCAGCCGCTGCGCCAGGCCTTCAGCTACTTCCCCTACCCCAGCCTGGCTGACCTGGCGCTGCTTTGCCTGCGCCATGGCCTGCAGTTGGAGAAGGTCAAGGCCTGGTTCATGGCCCAGCGGCTGCGCTGCGGCATCAGCTGGAGTGCCGAGGAGATCGAGGAGACGCGGGCGCGGCTGGCCTGCCGCCAGGACCGCCCGGCCTTCGGGGCCCTGCTGGCCCCCAGCAACCCCCTGACGCAAACTGGCAAGGCCCCAGGCGGCAGGGAGGCCCCTGCAGCTGCTCACCACAAAGCCAAGCCCCAGGAATCCCCGGGGAGCTGTTCGGCTGCAGCCCAGGGGCCCCCAGAGCCGGGGAGAGCTTCTGCGGCCCCCCAACCCAAAGCCAAAGAAATGCTGACACCACCCCCCAGCCTTTTCCCCACGCCGCCCCCTCCGTGCCGGGCCTGGGCGGATCCTCCAGCCAGCGCCAGCCACCTGGACACTGCCTGGGACCTCAGCAAGCCCTGCCGGCTGGGGGTGGCTGACGTCGCGCCGCCCTCCTCTGGAGCTGCCGCCAATGGGCCCGAGGTGTGGGCCCGGCCCGGCCACCCCCACGGCACCCTGGAGGCCCAGCGGCAGCGCAAGAGCCGGCGGAAGAGCAAGGAGCAGCTAGCAGTGCTGAAGTCATTCTTCCTGCGGTGCCAGTGGGCACGACGGGAGGATTACCAGTGGCTGGAGCGGATCACCGGCCTGCCGCGGGCAGAGATCATCCAGTGGTTCGGGGACACCCGCTACGCCCTCAAGCACGGGCACCTGCGGTGGTTCTGGGATAACACCGTGCCCCCCGCCGCTGCCCTGGAGCCCGGGCCCCGCACGGACACGGGCCCGCTGGAGCGGTACTGGGCCGCCCGGCAGCAGCTGCGCCAGGACGACCTGCCAGCCCTGTGCCGCGAGTCGGGCATGGGGGCCCAGCAGGTGCTGAACTGGTTCTATTCCCGCTCGCCCGAGCCGGCCGAGGTGGTGGTGTGCCTAGGCGAGGAGCCCGAGGATGAGGACGAGGAGGCCGGGCTCATGGTGCAGGACGACGGGGAGGAGGAGGAGGACGAGCCAGAGGAAGAGGACCTGGGCGCCCAGGAATGAGGAGTTTCAGAGACTCCCGGGAGGGCGGAGGTTCGGGGGAACCGACCCGTGCACTGGGGCCCTGCTCTGTCTAGTTCTTCCCTCTGCTCTAGAACTCAGATCTGGGTCTTGCATCTAGTTCCCCCTCCCTCTCCAGTCCTGGGCCCCACGTTCCCCCCTGCCTCTCCCCAGCTCTAGAACCCGGGTCCCAGGTTCTTTTCCCTTTCTGTTCTGGAACTTGGTGTCATGCGGTTCTGCTTCATAGCTCACTGTTGTAATTTGCTCTCCGTGCCTCAGGTTCCAGATCTGGGTTCCTTCCCCCCTCATCTTGGTGATCTAGAACAAAGTACTGGTTCCTCCCTGTTCTAGAATCTAGAACCCCGTGTTCTAGAATCCCAATCACACCCTGGTCCTCTTCCTCTTCTAGAACAGAGGGCCACCCCCAAGCTCTGCCACAGACCCTAGAACCTGGAGCTCTTGACCTAGAACCCAAGTGTTCGGTTCCCTCTACCGTGCTCTAGAACCCAGGGACCATTTCACTCCTAGTCCCCAACTCTAGAATCTATGTTGTCCGGTTACTGGTTTGTGCTCTAGAACCCAGTACCTTCCGACCAGTTGTCTGGATTCAGGTATGCTCCCTTCTCCAGACTTCCCCCACCTCTCCCCCCTCCTTCAGGCGCCTCTGTTTCTAGAGTCTGCCCTGGTTCGTCCCTCCCCCCCTTCTAGATCATGTTACGGCCCTGTCCCCCAGAGACACTTGTGTGGAGGGAGCCGGGTGGGGGCGGGAGCTGGTCTGTCGGGGGCTCCCTGGGTTTGGTTTTACAAACTGGGCAGGAGCGAGGGCACAGAAAACTGGGCAGCGGAGAGCGGGCGCGGGACTGACTTTCCCTGGCGGCTGTCGGTCCTTTCTGGAGTTGTTAATTTATAACGCCCTGCGATGGGAGTTAAAGCGAGGTTTGAAGTTGAACCCCACGCCTGTGGCCTGTGTCTGATTGGCGGGGGGGGAGGGTCTGGATGGGGGGCACGGGGAGCAGGGCTTTGGTTCATTCATTCACTCACGTTCTCAGTTCTTGTTCCCTCGTTGGTAGCTAGCGCACGTCAGTGGGGAGGGGTCCCTGACACTCAGTGGGGGTGGGTCTCCCGTCTCCCCTTCCTCTCTCCTCTGGATTCCCGGTCACTCATTTCCTCCTCTCCTCCCTCATTTCCTCTTCCCCACACCCTCCTTCTCCTTCCGCGCCCGGCTCCTGCCATCCCTGTTGCCCCCTTGCCCCACTCCCTGGCCTCACCCCCTCCCACTAGGGCTCTGGGAGGTTGGGGTTCACCCCCCAAAAAACCCACAGTCAAACCATCCAACCCTTCCCCCAGCAGAGCCCCCCAGGGCAGGGGAAGAGCGGCTGGGGGGCAGGGAATCGGGTTACATCCCCCCAGGGTAAGGGGCAGGGGGGTTACAGCTGAGTCTCAGTTCTTTCCCCCAAAACACGCAACACCCCAGTTGGAAAAGCCCAACATTTATTGTCAACCTGCGGGGGAGTCTGGGCTCCAGTGGGGTGCCCCCAAGTGTCTCTGATCCCAGCTGGGGGGTGGGGATAACAGGCCTGGCCCTGGGGCTGGCTGGGTGGGGAGGCAGGTGCATGGGGAGTTGGAGGAATGGGGGACCCCTGGGCCGGGCCAGCGGGGGTAGTATGGGGGGGCTGTTAGGGAGTGTGACAGGGTGGGGAGGCTCCCCTAGCTGTACCTCCCACCGCACCCCGGCACAGTCACTCCGGTCCCTAGGGGGCTGCAGGGGCAGAGTCCGTTGGGTGCTGGGGAGCCTGGGCAGTTTCTGTGCCCCACATGCTACAGCTGGGGGGCCCGGCTGGCACTGGGGGGCCTGCGGGGAGAGAATCCTAGTGAAGAGACAGAACAGCCCCTGGGAGGGGTCCCTCCCCTCTGAGCCCCCCCTCCCCAGACCCCTCTTTTGGGGGCTCACCCCATTCTGAGGCCCCCTCCCCCAGACCCCTCTGTCTAGGGTCGTTGCCACCCTCTGGGCTCCCCTCTGTCAGACCCCTCTGTGTGGGGGATGACCCCGTAATCCAGTCTCACTCACCTGCCATGCTGGGAGGGGATGAGCTGGGGGGTGAACCTTAGCTGGGGGAGAGAAGAAATTACCCAGAATGCTGCAGACAGACATCCTAAATCTGAGCCCCCCATCCCCAGCCCACTCTGCTCCTGCGCACCCTCCAGCTTAACCCCCAGCCTGTTCAGCCCCCCAGCTTGACCCCTACCCCACCTCCGAATCCAGTCTCCCCTGCCCCCCCTCACCTGTATGGGTCTTGGTCTCTCTGCGCTTTGGCTCCCCCGAGGGGTGCCCCTCTCTCTCAGATCTGTTAGGCAGATGGGAGGGGTTAGTGGGGCAGATTGGGGATGCCCTGTGGACCCTGCTATGGGCTGGGAGGGGCATCCCCTGACCTCTCATTCCCATCCCTCCCCAGGTCTCCCAGGACGGGGTGTGGGGCTGGCTGAGTTGGGGGTCCTGGCTGCCATTGTGGGTCCTGTGTCTCATCCCCCTGGCTCACCTGCGAAGATGCTCGGTGCCAGCGTGGGGGGGCCCCGGCCCTGCCCAGCCTCACCTTCCACTGGCCCCTGCCCAGGGGGGCGCAAGGGGAAGGTGCCCAGCCCAGGGGTCTGGTTGGAGGAGGAGGAGGCCCTGGGGGGAGAAGAGAGGAAGTTAGTGGAGGGGGGAAGAAACAGAGAGGACCCCCCCCCGGGGGAATCCTAGGTCCCAGACCCCCACAACCAGAGAATCCCAGCCCCATAGACCACCCCCCCACTGGGTAATCTGAGTCCCAGAGGACCCCCCCCCACCTGGGGCAATCCCAACCCCACAGCCCGTGCCCCCCAGGGGGATGCAGGGGCACCCCACACACACACACACTCACCAGTAGGACAGGCTTTGGGTGGAGGCTGGAGACGGGGTGGCTGCAGAGCAGAGGGCAGACAGTTTAGGGGGGGTGTCATGGATTTGGGGGGGGCCCAGCCCTGAGAAGGGAGAGTGAAATTGGGCAGGGAAAGGTGGGGAGCGATCCAGTCCCCTGGTGGGGAGGTGGGTGGGGGGCAGCCATGGCTCTGAGGCCTCATCCCTGTGAACACAGTTGGGCCAAGCTGAGGTCAGTTCTCAGACTGCTGTGGGGCTGCCCTCTGGGGCCCCTGAGCTAGCTGGCCCCCCAGTCCTCTCACCGATGCTGGAGCCAGTGGGGGTTTGGGCAGCTCCTGCAGCCTGCTGGGAAAAGGAGAGATGGAGTGAGTCAGAGTGGGGTGCCCGGGCAGCCCCCCCATGCTCCCCCACAGCTCCTGTGGTCCCAGGCACCCACACACCCCACATGGCCCCCAGCTCCTGCACGGCCCTCATGCCCCCCATACCCTGTGTAAGTCCCCAGGCCCCCCCCACAGGCCTCCCACTCCCCAAGGGGCACGCGGGTGACTCACCGGCCAGCTGGGGGTGCTGGAGAGGCGGTAGGGGATGGACTCCAGTGAGGAGGAGCGGCTGTGGGGGGAGAGACCTCGTTACATGGGTCACGGGGGGCACCCCCTGCATGGGCACATACACAGCAGGGCTCCGCTCTGCCAGCAAGGGGCACAGGGACACACACACACCCCGCAGGGCTCAGCCCCGCCAGCAGGGGCGCAGGGACACAGACCCCCCCCACCGCAGGGCTCTGCCCCGCCAGCAGGGGGCAGAGACGCACGCACACATGCACGCTCACCTGACCACTTGGCTGCAGAGCTGGGTGCGGGGCCGCGGGGCACCTGCGAGGAGGGACGGGCATTAGCTCCAGCGCCAGGTGAAGACAGGGAGTCCAACGCCTCACCCCCATTCACACACCCGCCATCCCCCACTGCCCTCGCACACCCATTGCCCCACGGGTACCCCTTGCAGGCCCACCACCCCACAGGCACCCCTGGCCCTGGTATGCCTGCTGTCTGTGGGCACTCCTGGCCCTCATATGCCCATCACTCTGTGGGCACACCCAAGACCCTGTGGGCACCCCCCAACCTTGCATGCCCACCACCCAGTGGACACCCCCTACTCTCACACACCCATTCCCCCACAAGACCCCTCAGTGCTTGCACACCCACTGTGCCACACCACCCACCTCACATTCCCAGCATCCCCGGCCCTCACATGCCCAGCGCCTATGCGCACCCCCACCTTTGCACACTCACTGCCCCCACCATGCCTTCGCACACTTGTCACATTTGTCCTATTTCAAGGAGGCTCCCTGGTGCCCCCCCCAGGGTTCTCCTTACCACTCTGTGAGGGGGAGGTGATGCCAACCGGCCGGGGGGTGCTGCCCCTGCCCAAGGGAAAGGGACACAACTCAGGGCTGAGAGGATGGGGCACCTCCAGTGCCCCAACTCCCCATACCCCCATCCAGCACTCCACCCACCCCACCCCCGCCCAGCACCCCACTCCCAGTGCCCCCAACTCCCCATCCCCACCCAGCACTCCACTCCCACCTCCCTGCCCAGCACCACACCCCAGTGCCCCCCAGCTTCCTACCCAGCACCCCACTTCCAGTGCCCCTAACTCACCACCCTCCTCCAGCACCCCACCAGTGCCCCCAACTCCTCATCCCCCACCCAGCACCCCAGCCCCCATTGCTCCAACTCCCCATCCCCCCGCTCAGCACCCCAACCCCAGTGCCCCCAACTCCCTGCCCAGCACCCCATGACCAGTGCCCGCAACTCCCCATCCCACCCCGGTGCCCTCAACTCTCCACACACAGCACCCCACTGCCAGTGCCCCCAACTCCCCACACCCTCCCACCTGGCACCCCCACTCCCACCACTCCCCATCCACTGCCCAAGGCTCCCATGTCAGACCCCACTCCTGCCCCACAGACCCCCCAGGTCACATGCCCTGGGCCCAGGAGGGGTTTGCTGACCTGCTGCCCTGGCATCGGCTGGGCGAGGCCTGCAGAGAGAGGGGCAGAAGGGGGGTTAGTGTGTCCCGGGGGCAGCAGAGAGACGGGGGCACAGGCTGCCCATGGGGTGAGTGGCACAGATAGACAGACAGCAGGCGGGACAATGCACAGACAGACAGACAGTAGTCAGGCGACACACTGACAGATGGACAGACGGCGGGCAGGATGACACACTGATGGTCGGACAAACAGCGGGCGGGATGAAACTCTGATGGTGGGAGGGCAGGATGACACATGAAGGATGGAGAGACAGCGGGTGGGATGACACACTGACGGATGGACAGACAGCAGGCAGGGAGGACACACAGACAGACGGACAGACAGCATGCGGGATGACACATGAAGGATGGATAGACAGTGGGCGGGAAGACAGACAGCATGTGGGACAACACATGAAGGATGGACAGACAGCGGGCGGGACGACACACTGACAGATGGATGGACAGCGGGCGGGATGACACACTGACAGATGGATGGACAGCGGGCAGGAATGACACACAGATGGACAGACAGACAGCGGGCGTGATGACACACTGATGGACACACAGTGGGTGGGATGACACAGACGGACAGACAGACAGAGGACGGGGATGACTGATGGACAGACGGACAGCGGTCGGGATGACACACTGACGGACCGACAGACAGCGGGCAGGATGACACACTGACGACCGACAGACAGCGGATGGGGATGACTGACGGACAGACAGACAGCGGACGGGGATGACTGATGGATGGACAGACTGCGGGCGAGATGACACACTGACGGACTGACAGCAGGCGGGGAGGACGCACAGAAAGACGGACAGACGGGCGGGATGACACATGAAGGATGGACAGACAGCGGGCGGGATGATACACTGACGGGTGGACAAACAGCAGGTGGGATGAGACACAGACAGACGGACAGACAGCAGGCGAGCTGACACACCAACGGATAGAGAGACAGTGGGCGGGGAGGACACACTGATGGACACACAGTGGGTGGGATGACAAACCGACGGACGGACAGACACTGTGGGGGATGACACACAGATGGATGGACACACAGATGGTCAGACACACAGACAGCCCTCGCCTTGAGGATGCTCAGATATTTCTTCAGCTCGCCGTTCTCCTGCCTCAGCGCCTCCAGCTCCCTGGGGAGGGGAAGGATACATGGGGTCAGAGGGGCTGGGCACTGCCCCGCTCTGCCCACCCCTGGGTCCCCCCACATGCTGGGATGCATGCACAAGTGCCAGGCTTCGTGCGTGCTGTGCCAAGCAGGCCAGGCGCCGTATGCCAGCCATGCCCCAGGGATGGTGGGTGCTCTGCCCACCAGCGTGTCACCCATGACGGGGACATGGGGGTGAGTCATATATCCCTGGTGACCCCCAGTGGCTGGGCTCTGACCTGTCACGGGTGGAGAGTTTCTGGCGTGCCTCCTGCAGGGACCCCTCAGCCTGGGATGCCCTGTCCTTGTAGAACGAGAGCAGTCGCTCACTCTGCGCCCGCTGGAAACTCCACACCTGGGAGACAGACACAGGGAATGGGGCACAGGCCGGACCCTCTAGGGGGTGCTGGCTCCCATCCAGCCCCAGGGCGGGGACTGGCTGGCTTGCGGGGTGGGCAGGGAATGGAATATGGGGCCTGTCCCCTCTGGCCCGAAAGCAGGGACTGGCTGGTTTTGGGGGAGGCAGGGAATGGGACATGGGGCTTGTCTCCTTTAGTGGGCACCAGCTCCATCCAGATCCACAGGGGGGACTGGTTGGCTCAGGAGGTGAGATCCAGAAGCGAACAATCTCTGGGACTATCAGAAGTGCTGCTGACAGCTCTAAAATCCCCTGTGATGATTAACTTTCCATCTCCATTCATCTCCCTCCTTATCTGGCTTCGTTAGGGTAAATAATTAGCAGGGGCATGGGGGAGGAGTTCCAGCAAAGCCCTTGCACTGATTATTAACCAGTCCCCAGCTTGGCTATTAACCCAGGCATCTTTGCCTGACCTCGAATTCCCCCGGCTGCCTCACCCCTTCGAAGATGTGGGACCCTGCCCGGAATCTGGGCCCCACTCAATCCTCTCTGATAACTCAGCAGAGCACGCTCACTGGTGGCTTCTCCTCCATCTTTGTTGTTCCCCTGGCTCAGCTCTGCCCCTTTCCTGTCACAGGCGCCCACCCAGAGCTGCATGCGACCTGCCTTGATTGGTCTCCACTCCACCTCCAGAGTCTTCGGTGTAGCCCCCTGAGCTCGCTTTCAGCTGCGTGTCCACCCTGACCGCTGGGTCCGTTTTAGAGTCCCTGCTGGCCTGGCCTGCGTGCCTCCATCCTGGCTGGAGAACTTAATGTTTGTCTGGGTTGAAATGTCGTTGGGTGGAATGGGCCCAGCTCACCCAGTGATCCAGGTCACCATGGGCTCGTCACCACTTCCCACTCTACCAACCCTTGGTGCATTAGCAGACCTGACCCCAGTGATCTTATACTGACTTCCCATCAGTGAGGAGCATCCCAGTGTCCTAGAAACGTTGCCAAGGCAGGACCAAGTAAACCTAGACCAGCCCTGATGCAGGTTTGTCCAACCAGATCTTTAAAATCTCCAACAGGAATCCTCAGTCTCCCTTGCTGTGGACTAAGCCCCTTAAGTCTTCTCCTACAGTCAGTGAACATAGAGAACAATTGATCCCCGTCCTCTTTATAGCAGCCCTCACCAGATTTGAAGACTGTTCTCACTCCCCTCTCAGTCTTCTTTTCTCATGCCTAAACATGCCCTGTTTTCTTAACTTTTCCTTGCAGGTCAGGTTTTCTCACCCTTTGATCACTTTTGTGCTTTCCTCTAGACTCTCTCCAGTTTGTCCCCCTCTTTCCTAAAGTCAGGCGCCCAGAATTGGACACAGTACTCCAGTTGAGGCCTCACCTGTGCTGTGCAGAACAAGATAATGACCTCCCATATCTTATAGACAACGTACCCATTAATATGCCCCAGAATATTTGACTTTTTCTCAACTGCATCACTATGATTCACTCAAGCCCCCAGTGCCTTTGCAGCCGTGCTATTTCATACCTAGTCCTTCCCTATTTTGTAGCTGTGCATTAGATTTTTTCCTTCCTAAGTGAAGTCCTTTGAATTTGCTTTGCTGAATTTCATCTGGCTGAAGTCAGACCAATTCTCCAATCTGTCAAGGTCATTTTGAATTGTAATCCTGTCCTCCAAAGCCCTTACAACCCCTCCCATCTTGGTGACAGACGCAAATTTTAGAAGCATGCTCTCCATTCCATTATCCAAGTCATTAATGCGAATATGACCCTGTCATAAATATAAAGGGAAGGCTAACCACCTTTAAATCCCTCCTGGCCAGAGGAAAAACCCTTTCACCTGTAAAGGGTTAAGAAGCTAGGATAAACTCCCTGGCACCTGACCAAAAGGACCAATGAGGAGACAAGATACTTTCAAAGCTGGAGGGGGGGAACAAAGGGTTCTCTGTGTGTGTGTTGTCTTTTGCTGGGACCAGAGCAAGAATGCAGGTCAGAACTCCTGTAAAGGGTTAATAAGCAATCTAGTTAGATATGCGTTAGATTCTGTTTTGTTTAAATGGCTGATCAAATAAGTTGTGCTGAATGGAATGTATATTCCTATTTTTGTGTCTTTTTGTAGCTTAAGGTTTTGCCTAGAGGGATTCTCTATGTTTTTTTAATTTGATTACCCTGTAAGGTGTTTACCATCCTGATTTTACAGAGGTGATTCTTTTACTTCAATTAAAATTCTTCTTTTAAGAACCTGATTGCTTTTTCCTTGTTCTTAAGATCCAAGGGTTTGGGTCTGTGTTCACCTATGCATATTGGTGAGGATTTTAATCAAGCCTTCCCCAGGAAAGGGGGTGTATGGCTTGGGGGGATTTTGGGGGGAAAGACGTTTCCAAGTAGGCTCTTTCTCAGTTATATTTGTTAGACACTTGGTGGTGGCGGCAATAAAGTCCAGGGACAAAAGGAAAAATAGTTTGTACCTTGGGGAAGTTTTAACCTAATCTGGTAAAAATAAGCTTAGTGGGTTTTTCATGCAGGTCCCCACATCTGTACCCTAGAGTTCAGAGTGGGGAAGGAACCTTGACATTGTGGCAGAGCGGTAGGATTAACTTGAAATCATTTTGAGATTTTTTGAACCAAAAGCACAGATTTTAAAAGGAAATATTTTTTTTCCCCTTTGGGCTGCTGGAAAGCAGGTTTTAAGCTGAAAGCAGTTAGAGTTTTTTGTGTCTCTGCTTGGGGGACAGAGCAGAGACAAAAGGGAATTGTCTTTTGTGAGCTGGAGTTTTCTCTACCTAAAGGCAGGGTAGTTAACCTCCTGCAGGGAAATTCACAAGTCTTCACAGACCTGAAGAGGGGGGTTGTTTTTTGGGGTTTTTTTTACCTAAGAGCAACTAGAGGGGTTTTCTGTCTATTTGCCTGGAGACAAAGGTGTTAGTTGTTTTTTTTAAAGGATTTTTCTGTAGGCTGACAATCACTATCAGAGAACATCGGTATCCGGTTACAGTACAACCTATATATATATTTTTTTTTTACAAGCCACGTTTTTTTGTTTGTTTTGTTTTATTTCTAACTGTCGGGTGTAAAGTTAGTTAAAAACAGAGAGGCAAACGTGACAGAGTCCAAGGCAGAAACAGCGAAAGAGGCTGCCCACAGGAGAGAACGGGAGGCAGCGAGAGAGAGAAAAAAACCAAGAGGCTGCCCACAGGAGAGCTATGGAGGCAAAGGAAAAAGAAATGGAGGAGAGGGAAAAAGAGAGGAAGCATGCACTGGAGATGGAGAAGGTAAGGGTTGAGCAGAATCTACTGGATAACCCTAACCATCCTTCCCAACCAATCCACAAATGGGAAAGACTATGTCCACAGTATGATGAATCCAGTGATATTGCTGAATATTTTCTCACCTTTGAGAGACTGTGCACTCTCCATAAAATTCCTGAAGCTCACAAGATGACCACATTGGTCACAAAATTAACTGGAAGAGCTCTGGACATATTCAATAAGATGCCAATTGATGAGGCTTCTGACTATAATAAGTTCAAGGATTTGATTTTAAAGCAATTTCAAATTACATCTGAAACATACAGAGTAAAATTTTGAACCCTTAAGAGAAGGCCTGGACTAACTACTGTGGCTTATCTAAACCAGATGAGGGATCTGTTAGATAAATGGATCCAAGGAAGGGGTGTCACTAGCTTTGACGGAATGTGTGATTTGATAGCTCAGGAGCAATTCCTGAATATGTCCAAGGAGGAAATAAAACAGTGTTTATGGGATAAGGAAATGGACTCAGCAGAAAGTCTTGCTTCTTATGCTGATCGATACGAGCAGTCCCAGACCACCAGAGAGGCGGGGCAAGCCGAAACAAAACGGGTGGAGGGAGTAGAGAGGAACAACCCTGGTTGCAGTTGGAGCGGATACCAGAAGGGACACCCTCAGACCACACCCTACTACCGGGGGCAGCCCAAGGCCCCAACTACACACCAAGGAATACTCCAGACACCTTATCGTCCTGCCACACTGTTCTCCCGCAACCCACCTCACCCCAGTGACCCGTCAGCTGGACAATGTTTTAAATGCAATGAGAAGGGGCATGTGAAGGCCAACTGCCCCAAGAACCCCAACTGATTACAGTTCATTGCACCGGAATAACACCAGACGTCCTCAGGCCCAGATACCTCCCAGATACCCTTGGAGCAGAGGGAAACTGTGAGTGTGGGCGGGAAGAAGGTCACCACATGGAGGGACACTGGAGCACAAGTATCAGCTATCCATGCTTCCTTAGTGGACCCAAATTTAATCGACCCAGAGATCCAAGTGACAATTCAACCCTTCAAGTCCAACTCTTTCAATTTGCCTACAGCCAAGTTACCTGTCCAGTACAAAGGCTGGTCAGGAATGTGGACTTTTGACATCTATGATGATTATCCCATCCCCATGCTGTTGGGGGAAGACTTGGCCAATCATGTGAAGCTAGCCAAGAGGGTGGGAATGGTCACCCGCAGCCAGGCTAAACAAACCATGACTCCTAGCTCTGTTCCGGAAACTTCTACCAGGATTCGGTCAGAGGTGATGGAACCGGACCCCATGCCAGCATCTGTAACAGCAGTACTGGATCCAGTCTCAGAGACCCAGACAGAGCCAGTCCCAGGACTGGAACTGGCGGAACAACCAGCACCAGACCCATGGCCAGCACTGAATCCAGTACTTGCAACCCCAACACCAGAGGGCCCCACCGAACCTGAACTGGCAGCAGCCGATAACCCTACACCAGAGGCTCAGCCGGAGTCTGAAACCCAACATAGTGCACAAGTGGAGAGCAGTTTACAGTCAATGGAAACAGCCCCATCCCCTACATCGCTTCCAGAGGGACCAAGCCTTGGTCCACAATCCAATGAGGAACTGATGTCTCCAGCATCAAGGGAACAGTTCCAGATCAAACAGGAAGCAGATGAAAGCCTCCAGAGAGCTTGGACGGTGGCACGGAGCAACCCACCACCTCTCAGCTCTT